GAAGTTCATATCCAGCTCGGCTAAGAACGCATCAGACTTGTATTTGTTCTTGCAGTAGGATACATAGAGCTGGAACTGGCGTTGCTGATTAGGTGAAATATAAAGAAACACACAGACACAAAAAACAAAACAATGAAAATTCGAGAACAAGGGCACCTGATAATAGTAGCAGATGGCAAGCCAACTTTTTTCCCTCAAACTTATGAACATTGGTAATGTTTGTGGTTCTGAGTAGATTTGGCAGATGGGGGGGGGGGAGTCTAGTCCGCAAAGGAAAGAGTAGTGCTTGTGTCGGGGTAGCTACAAGGTCCGTATACAGTACAATGTGTGAGCGTTCCCCATGTCATCACACAAGATAGGGAGAGAGAGGTCTTTGCCATCCTGGATGATGTGATGACCACTTGACAACACGCTGGCCGGGATTACCAATAATTACTAAACACCATTACAAACATTACAAACAGTGAAAACAAGAAACCGCAAGAAGTGAATGACAGATCAGCAATGTTACCTTGTTCAAGAAGCAAAGTCCAACTCGCTCTGGATTGTCGGCGCAAGACTCCAATTCATCTCTGAACACACTAAAGAAGCAAGACGGAGATATTCAAGATTCCAGGAAGGGGGTTTAAGGATGCAAGCGAAGCACAGCAACTCAGAATGTACAACATGCAGAGTGCCGCATTGAAGTGTGCGAAGCTTACTACATGCAATTACATCAACAAGCAATACATGGACAAAGGTATAACTGCAATGCATTGTGTGAGGCACTGCTTGGAGTAACTGTTACACCCTTGTGTATGTATCTAGACTCAATACGTTATCCTACATACAGATTGAATCATCACTACCTGTAGCATCCAGGTCAAAACTCACGTCTTGTGGAACTCCAGCAACCTAGGTAGGTTACCAAACAGTATGTTCCTCTTAGCACGCCATGACGCTGGAACAGCTTCATTGTCTGGTCTCATAGGTGTCCAATAATACTGTGACACAGACACACAACAGAATGATAATAATAATATTAATACAGCACTGTTAGTCGCCAAAGAACTGGGAGGTCAGCCTCGCAGCCTAGGCCGTTCTTATTTTCAAGTATTACAGTCCATGCACAGTTAAGTCACCGTGTATACATCGGTATGCTGTGCCCTTGGTGAAGTCCTAGCCTGGTCGTTTTTCAGCACCCGCCAGTAGTGTAGTGTACATGTGAGAACATCACTCATAGTCATACACTACATGCAGAACTTGTACCACATGCAGGCTGGAGGGGGGTCATCGTATGCCTTATGGCAAAAGCGGCAGGAGGGTTGAGATTTTAGGAGTAAAATCCCTGAAAGATATTATCATGGTAGACCCAGCCTGTGGCTTGCCACACTCCGGATTGCTTAGTAGCACCACCAAGGCAACAGTTACAGCAGACAACAAGGCAACAATCACAATCCCGGATGTCAGAAGACATGGCGGGTACATGTAGCAAGCGTGGATCATACTTACATCAAGGGTTTCTTGCAGATCGTCAATGTAGGTACGCTCAGTTTCGATAAGCTCAGCCATGATATACCTGTGTGAGGGCAGTCACATAAGTGTAATCAACATCACACAAACAGCATGAATACATAATGTCAAAAAGTGAAACTAGAATCGTCACAAATGATATTCTAATATGGCGTGAAAGAGAGAGAGAGAGAGAGAGAGAGAGAGAGAGAGAGAGAGAGAGACAAGAAAGATGAGATGTTGGTATGTTTAATGTCCTCACCCTCTTTTCTCCAGAACACGTGAGTTAGTTTCTGAGTCTTCGATTACCCCACTGAACACACCCTGGGAAACAGAAAGAAAGGAAGAAATACGAACAATGCCTTGGTTATAGACACAATGAGTTCAACAAGCCGGAAGCAAAACCACACTGGGTGAATGCACGCTAGTTAACAAAGAACAACACCAACAGTACAAACACTGACCCAGCATTGAAATCACTCACCATGATGGCAGTGTGCAACACCAACAAACCAACAATGGACAACTTACACTGTCTTCACCAAGAGAAGAATCCAACTGACTGGGAAAGGAAATTCCTCTAGCCGGACTGAAATGCAGAGAGGAGTGGTGTGATTGTCGTTCAGCTGATGTGATCTTATCACTTGAAGAACCACCTACGGTTGAACTCCGTGTCATTGGGTACGGTCTGTGTCCAGTTTGTGGCGAAGTGAAACCCTTTGGAGTCACCCGAGGGGTCACTAATGCGCCGGAACTTCTCGAGTGTGCGATGCGATCTTGAAATCGATGTGCTCGATCATGTCTAGGTGATGACTTAGAGCTGGTATCTGATGACAGGCTACTGGCACATGCTGCACTACCAGCTGTGTCCTGCAGAGGTGGTGGAGTAACACTGCCAGTACTAGCCCCACTCAAGCTACTTCCCTCAGCATGCTGAACACACACAAACAGACACATCAAAACACATGCACACATGCATGTACACACACATGCATACGCACACATGCGTACACACACATGCGTACACACACACACACAAACAGAAGAGACACAGTTAACTTCCCCGTTTGCCTCCTTTTCACTTCCCACCCTGGCACAATATAGCAGTCCCTCAAAACACAACAGGGTAAGAGCAAGCCAGTGATATCATGATACACATTTCATAACACTTACGGCAGTGAGCTGTCCCTTCAGCTCATTGTGCTTGCTAGACAGTGTGTGCACACCCTCTATCCGAGCTGTCACAAGATTCTGAATTTCACCCATCTTCTTCTTCAGCTTTCTCACTTGCTCACTCAGTAGGTTGTTTGGTGGCAGAGCGTGGACAATGAGATCCATCTTGTGCGTGTCAGTGTCCTCCAAGCGGTCAAGGTATCGGCTGAGATTGGTGAGAACATCGGCTGTGCCACCTTCAGAGAGACACTGCTCCATGGACTGTGTAGCTAGAAGATGCAGACCCTCTTCACAGAGACCAGTACCCTGCGAGTACAGCGTAGAGAACACATACAATGCACGTGTCTATGAGTATGTCATGTACAACACCGTCGTCATGGTAAACATGGAAGACAGCGCCTCAGTCCGTGCAGTCAGTTTACAGTGGGTTGATAACAGGTATAGATACTGTGAGACCAGAGACAGGTATAGATACTGTGAGACCAGAGACAGGTATAGATACTGTGAGACCAGAGACAGGTATAGACACAGTGAGACCAGAGGTCTGCAACACAAACAGTGCCATCAGTGCATGAATCCAATGCACATACAGAGGCTGGGGGCAGGAATAACCAGTCGTCAATGATACTTCAAGTACTAAACCAGGAGTTGTAAGTAGACAATCGCTGATGACTCATATAATTATTGTCTTCACAGCTGCCTTAGAGCTTAACCCTTTACCGGCAGCCCCATACTTGAATACGTCAACGTTGACGCATTCGACATGCATACAAAACCATGCCTGGCATGACGGGAAGCATCAGCCCACGGGGATTTCCCGTGGCCCTCACACAGCTAAGGTATGATCCTATCCGTAGCTGAAGAGATCCACGCGTGTCCCATTTGATTTCATTGAGAACTGCGCGATCGAAAACTTACGGAAATACACGCGCGCCGACAATGCCGTCCACCCCCGTCAAAACATTGTCAGGTGCATTTTCTCTTGCGCAGTGAGTTCCTTTCGTCCTCGGATAACTTCTCCGACGAGGACCTAGCAGTCATTCGCTCTGGGACCGACGACGGATAGATAAATGCTTCGTTCCAGCCACTGATGCAAGCGAATTTCAAATTACGGAGCGGGGCGCACGCCAAGTAAATTCTCACACAAATATGGGGAGCGCCAGCCGCTGAAGACGATGTCGTCGTGATGTACCTGGAATAATCTGATGGTGCTTATGGTGGGGAAGCCATGGAGAGCAATCCCCGTGTCGACAGTCTCCCAGAGACGGAATTTAGGCCATCGACTTTCTACGTACCTGAGTGAGGGCAGCGCAGCGCGGCGTGCGTGAGACCTTACGGAGCTTCAAAAAGTCTGACAGCGATTCTGGGGCGATGCTGCTCTCATTTGCGAGCGAGGCATGGCCACTGAAGTTTGTGATGGCTATGGCGTTTGTTTCCGCTCCGAAGTCGACTTGTTTTGGCAGTATCATGTCAATGTCGGAACTCTGACGATTTGCATGTGTACAATTTCCGTGTTTAGACGTAGAGGCGCCAATTTAGCAGCAAATGTGTGTGGTATGAGAAAATAATTTTTTCCATGGTCAAGAACTAGTACTAGACTTCCAATAAAACATAACTTGCACATACAAAATGTGGCCTCGTTGTGAGTTATTGGCATCCTTCTAAATGTTATGGATTTCATATACAAAAGTAACTTGCCGGTAAAGGGTTAACAGCAAACACATAACTAGTTACCTGTTCGACGATAGTTTGTAACTCGACCGACATCTCCAGGTTAGACGTCCTCTGCTCAATACCCTGCACCAGTGCTTGTTGAAGTTGTGTCAGTTTACATGCACTCTCATTCAGTTGATCAGCTTTGTAGCAGTGTGGTCGTTCCACTACAACATGACTCTCAGCTGCCAGAACATTGCCACTAGCAATAATGCCAGTCTAGTGCACAAACAAACAAACATACGCATATAGACACACACACAGAAAAAAACAATCACCAAGTAATGATCATTGAGGTAAAGATAAAGAAGTACAGCAAGACACACAGATGGGTGATCATAGGCCAGAGGGAGAGATGGAACCACATGCGGGCAAACAATGCCTTGTTAACCAAAGCAGTCAAAGACCTGCAATGCAGTGACTGATGGAAGGTGACAATAAAACTCTGACTCCGCATAGAAACACTGTCCTACGCTAGCAGTTTGACCTAACAGTTATATCATTTCATATCCCCTTTCACCCCTTCCTCCCTCCTCTCCTCCTCCCCTCAAACAGCAAACGATAGAAATCAAAACTCCCCTGAATACCACTAGTCTTACCATCAACATCTCTGTCAGTGCTTTATGGTCAGCTAGAAGACTCCTTGCAGTGGACAGAGAGGTTCCAAAGTCCTTGCTCATTTTCTGATGTTCTGCTTCAATATCATTCGATACCTGTAGCAACCGAGGCAACCATGAAAGAGGTTTTAGAACAGGGTCTACTCTGCCTAAGTATCAAGTTATTTGAAGGCAGTGGTGGAAACACAAAGTGAATGTTTATAGAATCATCCTCTATGCTACTGCCATGTACATTGCCTGCATCTTATCACCTTACACCTGTAGAAATAATTAATTGCCTGAGCCTATACCTATTAGAGAAAGATAACCAAGCATTTTTGAACAAGGCTGAGTTTTTTTTTGCGTGCATAGTAAGTTGCATTGGGACTACATGATGCACAAGATAGAAAAAGAATGCTCGGACACTCTGCACAGTCACATGCCGTGCTCTATCACCTCAGTCTCTGCTCCGCACCACTACATTGTTAGTTATTAACTCAGGGTTAGTGGCAGTGGTTACGACTCTACGAGCACTCATGATACCATACAAGTATATATTCGCAGCACATCACTCCGAGGCAAGAGCACAGCTGACCTGATCCATGAGTTCTCTGAAGGATTGAGTCCGCCTAAAGTTGTCGAGTCGTTCCTTCTGCCATTTCCATGTCTCGGTCAGTTGGTCAATGTCCATGCTGAGTGCGGTGAGGGCTGCTTGTACCCGTGATGGTATACCAGCGTAATGATTGGTGGAAGACGCCAGACCATACTTGTGATGCTCTGTAAGCATCTTACTCACAAACTCCATGCAACGATCCAACAGCTGCTGGGCATGCTCCAGAGCAGACTCGACGTCCTCATGGAGTTCGTCTATGGCAGACTTTGTCTCGGTTGCTGTGGCTAGCACCGTGAAAGTTTGGCAATCTTTCTTTGTTTCAGATAGTGTTGTAGATGTTGCCTTGCACGTGTCACACAGTGTCTCTCCTTTCTGTAGTGGGCAGCAAGCAGCAGGCAATGGAACACAGGAAACCACTCAAGTGACCATCACACACTGGACACACTGGACACAGATAAGTTCATGCTCTACTGCCTCTTGTCAGTAGCCATGCACTTCTACTACCCTGTTAAACTCTGTGCTCCCTAGTTCCTCCTCCTCCCCCCTTCCACTTGTAGTCATCAGGCAGGATGCTTTCCTGACAGAAGACAAAGTAAGAAAAGAATTCAGCGGAACTTCAAACTTCAGAATACATCCTTGGCTATGGCTACGACGGTCACCGGGCGTGCATGTGATCAGCAACGTCCATTTTCCATGCACTGCTACATGTATTCAGTATGCATACATTACATACAACACTGACTGTAGTCTGTAGTGGCTTACAATGAACAGGTACATCCAGTCATCGTTGTTGTACTTGAGCAGTCCACCAAGTTCCACTGGCAGGTCTGATGCGGGTAGCATGGTCTTCAACGATTGGGGAGTGTTCAATGTTTCGACCTATAGCAACACCATCAACAACACCATCAACAACACCATCACCATTTAATACCAGCAGCATCAACATCACCACCAGTAGTATAGCATCATCAGTAGCATAGCACCACCAGTAGTATAGCATCATCAGTAGCATAACTACAATATGCATATACTTGGCACACCGTATTGGGAAGGCATTAATCACATACCTGAATAGGAATGTTATGATACTGTGCTATAGGTTTTTGTGGACTGTCTGAGTCAGGGGTTTGGCTACAAGCTACATTCCAGGCCTGGATAACCAGGGTGTTGGTAGTGCAATGGAAGGATTTAGACTGCCAAATTTGAACACTGTGTTGATTACTGTAGCTTGCATTGTCGTAATTCAAATCACATGTTATGTCTCAGTGTGTCTACCTACTAAGCGTCAGGCGAAATAGCACGTCATAGTACATTTGAGATCAGCGGGAAGAAGATGACGACGTCCACTAATTTAGTATCTGTGCACACGAATCTGCTGTGTGTGTGACTCTGTGTGTCAGCTATGATATCATCTTCTGTGGTTCCATGCCTAGCATGTACGTCTGAACCATCCTGCAAAGTTTGAATGACGTAGGTTGAGCGATCGCTCCGCGAAACATACTTTTTGAAATTCTCTTCATAGTATATCTTCCACCATTGAAATTTCGAATTTCTTCAAAAAAAAGTGCTGAAAGGGGTGGCTTGCAACCTCGATATGGCTTGTTCCAGGCATGCTTTGGAGCCATCTTCTGTTGAAGTAGTGGCGGGGATCTGCCCTGCAACTGCTACAACAAAAAATGATTCGATCTGAGAAAGGGTGAGACCGCGAATCTCGGTTGAATATTGAGTATTTCAAGCCTTTTCACGACGAAGATAGAGTTCTTTTTGGAGATGGACGTCGCGGCAAAGGACATGGTGTCCGACGTCTGGCGTCTGGTGAAGCCAGGGATCATTTGTCCAGTCAGGTCGGCAGCCTAACCGTCGGTAAGCTTGTGTTTGGATCCCGTTCTGCTCGATGTGGTAGATCACAAACAATTTGATATCGCACAAATTGATCTCAGCATCGTGCGTACGGTATTTTATATTCAGAAAATCCCAAGTGTCTCTGTGTGGCCGTCCTATGCCATGAAAAACTCCAATCAAGCTCCTATGTCCTCTGCCTTCATGATTGAATGTCCACTTCGTTTGAACAACGAACACAACAATCGAGGACGGCTTTGCAATGAAAAATACAGCTATACTGGAGCTGAAAAAAGAAGAAAAAAAACGTGCTCAGGATGAGACTCGAGTACACGCATACTCTCCCAGCAGGTGAAACGCAATTTTTTGTGAAAAATGCATGTCGCCGACTGACCAGTAATTTCGCCTGACGATAGGCTATCCATAACTGCTAGTGTTATTGGACCTACTATTGATTGGTATTATCTCACTGCAGGGTAGATCTAAGTGTAGAGAGGCTCCCCATAGATCTACATACACAGTATAGGCAAGCTCTTAGTCATAGACACAAGAACATATTCACACATTTGCAATGGAACAAGGTTAAAATTGGACTATGTGTATGCACATATGATAGTGATTGAATGTTTGCACTGCTAGTAACAGCATATTGGTATACACTGAGTGACTCCACTTTCAGAATTACTACACTACTAGAAATAACATCTGACGTTATTACCTTGAATGGTAGCTCATCCAGGAATGATTTGATGCTAAACTTGGCCAGGCTAAGACGATTGGACCGTGTAAGTAGAACTACACGCTGTACACCGGGAGGCAGGACATCCTGAATAGAGGAATCATAGAGAACAGACACATACACACAGAGATACACACACACACACACACACACACACACACACACACACACACACACACACACACACACACACACACACACACACACACACACACACACAAGTGGATGCACGCGATCAGGTTACCACTCCAACTACCAAACCAACTGCAATGTTTACTAAGTACTGACCCATGGCTCTTGCATACCTGTAGTATCATCCCAGTCCTTTCACTACAGGTGCTAAGCCCTCTGCTGGGCCTAGCTTTGGAGCTGGCCAACCGAGTGCTTCAAATTCATGTTAACATAAGTTTCCCACTCTCTTTCTTTGGTCCGGTGTGTGTAGTTCTCATTCACATAAGCACACGCACTGTCTTTCTTTTCTCTTCTCGTCTCTTTTCCCTATCTCTCCCCCCCCCCCCCCTCCCCCCTTCTTTTCCGCTAGTACCTATTCCAGAATTGTCGCTCCATGCTGTTGATAAGTACATAGCTACCTGGACACTACACAGCTGTGATGCACTGCGGGATGTACATGTGTTTCACAGTGCAGTAGCAATGATTGAGAAAGGGTACAAGTAACACTGCAGTGAGTATGCTCATGTGCCGTACCTTGAACAGTGCTAACAGTTGCTTGACTTGGCCCCAGTCCGCATCTCTCAAGTCACTCACAATCAGATACCTGGTCAGTTGTGTACTGTGACTTGGCTGATAATGACAGCTGTAAGAACAACACCATCACATTCAACATGATATGTTATTCGTCAAGACTACAGCAATATGATGCTGTGTGGCCTGTAGGTGAACTGAACTAGATTAGGCGGAAATACAGTCCAACCTTGTGAATAGCACAGCTCGGTACATGCACAACTCTATAGCTATAAACTATATACTGTACACTCTCCGCATGCTACAGTACACTCCCTGCATGCTACAGTACACTCCCTGCATGCTACTAAACGGTTAGGGCAAGCAGGCTAAGACATATCTGTGCAGCGAGTACCAGGTACACCCATGCACTACCCATGGATCAAAGGATCGCTACACATGGACACATTCCTACACCAAGTCCAAGGTACAAAGCAATGCATGCAGACACTAGCAACCATAACCCACTTACCTACTAGCCCAGACTATAAATCTAAACAGTGTTGTCAATGACGATATGTCTTCATAGAGCAGGTTTCTCCATGACGATGCCGGCACAACTATGATTGGCTGTGAGTGGACTTCACCACCTGCACGGTAGCCAAGGCAACAAAATGGTGGACACACAATTTGAGTTAGAGGCCACACACAGACTTCACTCCGGGTTAGGGCCGGGTTTCGGGCATCTTAAGTCAAATGCACGACAAGTTCCACAACTGAACAAAACATCGAATCATCCACTGGATCATGAGAAGGAACTGCACTATCAGCAACTGAACAACTGCATGATCAACTCAGTCAGCCTATTTTTTCCCTGTAAAGATTCCACTCCTACAAAATCCTGTAGACCTTTCGGAGAAGAGCACATGTTTTCTTTCAATCCAGACTACAATAACTTATCACAAGCACTACATTGCGTCAGTATAAGCTACACTTGTGGTCGTTCTGCATCACTACACCTGCTATGTAACTTACACACATAGCAGCTATGTCAGTATATACGCATAGCAGCTATGTCAGTATATACACATAGCAGTTATGTCAGTATATACACATAGCAACTATGTCAGTATATACACATAGCAACTATGTCAGTATATACACATGCTATGTCAGTATATACACATAGCAGCTATGTCAGTATATACACATGCTATGTCAGTATATACACATTCTGCACACACACGGTCAGACGTCCGCTCACACAGTAAACAGTGATTCTAGTGTTTAAAACAACTCCTTACCGGTCACGTTGGCATAGTTACGAGACAACAGTTTACCCAGCTCTGCGTCATTGGCCTTCGGAAGGGACATGGTGGAAAGCAGCTTCATGTCACTGTCCTCGGTCTTGGTGTCTTCAGGGGCTACGGGTACATCAGAATCTTCCACAACGTACCATGTGCTGCAGTGGGTGAAACACCAGGCATCCAAGACCAACACACACCCTCGTACCATTACAGTCACTTCAGGTATCACAACACCTCAGAGCCGTAGTGAATGTACCAATACTGGAGAAAGTTAGGACATACTGTTTAATGATCTCCAGGCAATTCAACTGGGCCATACCGGGTGGTGGACATGAAGCCAGCAAAGGCGCTCATCTCCATCTCAACATTATCCATCTCCACCGTAGTGTTCACTCACTGTCAACACGTACTGCTGTAGAGCTCTAGCCAGTGAAACAGTATGTCAGAGTGTTCTCTTTCAGCCCAGGAGCTACTATAAAGCAATAACAATAGCTATGCCACACAGCATACGCCAGTCTTCTACTTGTGCAATACAAGCTGCTAGAGCCCTGACCCTGTGCAGCACAGGAACTTGCCAGTCAATATGCAAACTGAATACCTCCTCAAATCAATGCCACACTGAACTAGATAGCCCAATCAGGAGTACTACAACTCGATACTGCACAATACTCAATAGTAGCAAAGCCTTTTCATCATAGTACTGCTGAACCATCATCCACGGATACTACAACTCTATATCACATGAGTCTCTACTAGTTGTAGCCATGTTGAATGATGGACATGAACTGATATAGGCACAGGATCAAACAAACTTGTTTACAACAGCCTGGGACATGCTTGTTATCACAATGTACATGCACCGGTACAGGTATATCAGTGCGGATAGTCCATATGGCCAGGTGGTATCCAGATATGGCCACAGCACACTGAACAGCAGCAGGTCAAGAAGCAGCGTGCCGTGCCGTGCTACCATACCACAATGTATGATGCAAACCGTCCATCAAAAAGAGGACTGCACAGTGAGTTGCACTGCCAACCTCATGGACCACAGCTGTGAGCAACCAATGTCAGCCAGACGTGCAGTTAGCTCATAACATGTGACTATTTCGCAAATTGCTACCAATCATGCTACCAATCAACCAGTTGAAAATCTGATGCTTCCAGTCTTCAACAAAACGTGATGTCACAGTGACTAGATTCATTCTCCAACTCTCACAGTAGTCCACACAATAGTAAACTAGGCAGTACACCATGGCATCCCAGCCTACTAGTACTCGTGCAAAATTCTGAACTGATCCTATAGCACACCACACTCCATCATTCACCCCAGTGTCTGGAGATATGTGGATTTTGTAGAAAAACAAAAAAAAACAAAAAAAAAACACAGATAGTGCTAGCCAAAAGGCATTCCACTGCTTTAGTGGGGCAGTAGGTTCATGCCCATGAAATATACATGTCAGGTATAGTCAAGCCATTTCACCCTTCTGACCTGGTCCAGCTGAGGGATGGGGGGGGGGGGGGGGGGCAATTTGATAGGCATGTGCAAGCAGCATACACAACGGGTGGATAGCATATTCTATTACATATACCTGGTAAGGCTGATGGGCAAGTCAATCATGTCCACACAGACTGTACTGATACTGAGGGAGGATGAGCTCATGGGCAAAAAACTCCACTCCTGTCCACATGCCTCGGCCATTCTATCCTAATAGTCTCAGACTAAAACACTTCCCAGCTCCTACTGCTACTGGTAAAGGAGAGAAGGGGCCCACAGCTTACAGCAGCCTGCATTACTTGTACCATTGAAGCCTTCCTGACTTCCTGCAATTAAAACAGTGCCATATGTCTGTTCCTGATGTTTTAGTAGTATTCAAACAGGCTCAACATTAGCTAGTCTTTCAGTGACGGGATAAGCAAAGACCCACAACTCCTACACCTCAAACTTTGACACAATTGTGCGGGAAGACAGCAAGAAAGAGTTGGGAACTGGGGCACAAACAGAGACGGTGGTGTGTTAACAGTTCAGTTTGGTGCCAGTAAAGCTAGACTGACTGCATGTAGTGATTGGTGTGCAAGTGTAGCAAGTGTAGCAAGGTTAGAAACTAATACTTGGGAAACCAAACAGTGTACAGTGTACAGCGCATAGGCATGATACGGTGACTGTAAAGAGACAGGTATGGCAACAGCCCTCAGTGACAGGTATGGCAACAGCCCTCAGTGTGCAAACGCCATACGCACTACAACCTAGGTAGCAGTACAGCCATCACTGGGATACCACCGGAGTGGCGACAGCATCAGGGTGATGACTGGAGCCATACTCAGTCATAATTACCAGCACAATAATATAATAGGCCGCTAGGGATTAATAGCCCATCAGCCTGATTACAAGGGTGTGCATACTCCAGGGCAGTACAGCACAGTGTGGACACATTCATCCCGCAAGTAAGAGTGCTGGTTGTTTGGCTCCCTATACTACAGCAGAAGCCCTACATGTAGTGTACACTGTCGCCAGCATGCATGATCAGCCTAGATATCTGGCTACAATGTTGTGTAGTCACTGTTCGTATTGAAGCTAGGCTAGGCTAGGCTGGATGCACCACTGGACCGGACTAACTCCCTGCACGTGCTGAAGTGAGTGTGTGGGTGTGCAACCGTCCACATACCCTGCTACATACAGAATGCCAGGGCTTGTGCCGGTGTCTATACATCAGTCAGTACTCAAAGACAACGCCCGCATAAAATGCATAACTGTATGCACAGTGTACCATGTATCCCATAAACCAATTTAGATATGACATCACATCCACTTCCTGCAATTAATCACCCCATCAATGCTATCAATACAAGTGAGCCATTGACAAACCCAGGGAATGGAGAAGGTAACACAAGATACATAGAGATATCCGACCTGTTGGATACTAAAGACTCAAAAGTAAAGAGTTGTTTATCATCTAGGGACTGTGTTATCCAGACCCAGTCTCCAGGCTCTCTGCCGGGCTTGCACCAGCAAGAGTACTGGTGAGTACTGGTGAGTACTGGTGGTGCTACAAGGTCCGTGGGCGTGACCCAGACTGGGGAAATAATGGAAATCAATGCATTTACTTTGAAGTAATCACACCCCAAACAATTGACACCATATTATAATACACACACACACATTTTAATTCACACACACCCTTCCAATCCAGGAGCTGATCAGCTATGGATGTCACAACTAATTAAAGCTATACCGGAGGATGGACACTGCATATACACTATTCCCAGCATGGCGGTAGGGAGATGTACAAAATCAGCCAACGGCAAGAGTCGCCAATGAACTGCACGGCGTATGTGGATATTCTCTGGGGCGGCTAGGCCTCTGCATAGCAATAATTTCCAATGAAAGAGACACTCTCCGCTGTGGACCATCACAAACTTCACATATACTAATCCCGGACCTGGATACTAATACCAATTCTCCACCGTACGAATTAGCCAGCACCAGCGCTGGCTTCTCACCAACAACAGAGCCAGCAAGGCAAAGTAGAGTCCCAGATGTGTTCACAACTTGGACACCCAGCTGCTAGAAATAGTCTAAGAGGGATACTAAACATTATTGATGGAATGTTAGGGAACGTCTGGATACAGGTTACCCATTCTCCCCATCCCCATCCCCACCCACCACCGCTGTAAACCAAGGCTGAGGGTAACATGGTAGTGTCCTTACCAATAAAGTAGTAGCTGTCACCAAAGTACAAGTAGGTCACGGTTCTTTCCACAGGTATGGATCAGGATCCAGTTCACAGAGGAGTTAGAAATGCATGACCAACCATAAGATCATGACCGTGTGGCATCCACTCCACTGCAGTTATGAGCAGATATACTCCACCAGGTGGAATTTGGAGTGCTGTTGTTGACATAGCCAATGCCAATGGTCAAATGTCAGTAATGCCCATGAGAATGTGGACGCTACTTCCTGTAGTCACCAGCCCTACCTTATTAGCCCATTATCACCTGCAAAGCACTCATTACTACATAGTCATTAGCTTTTCTTGGACTGCACACGTGCACGTTCGCCTCAAAAGGCTGGGGAAACCCGAAAACACCGGCACGTGCAGCCTGCAGGAAGCCTCGTCTTGTCCACACACACACGCGACTCTAGATCTACAGTCTCCACCGCTAGCTATGCAGTGGAAAACTCTCTCCAAGTCCAAGGCACTTCATCGTGACAGCGATAGTCCGGTGCTGATACTTGAGCAAATTTGGACCAGACAAACATGAGAGTAGACTGATCAATGTCCAGTCTGCAACATCACAAACTCTGAACAGTAATCGTTGCTAATGCTGCGTCACCACTACACACTCCAGAATATTTACAACGACGACAAAAATCATCTACATCTATTTGCGGAGACTCGCAACGGACATTGAACGAAGAGACATGGACATACGCTTAGGACTTAGTGGCAATACGAACCCGTTGTGACAGAGCCATAGTCGGTGACGCTATTACTGCTTCGGCTAGCACCACAATCTGCACAAACGTGTGTTTTTGTACGGCGGCATGATCATGCCGAAACACACAATACAACAAAACGCCAGTACTCCCCATATTCAACGACATGTTTGAACTACTTCCGACCAACTTCCGAACACCGCCAGTGTTGTTCGGACAGTTTGCGACAAAGAACAACGATTCGGACCGCGTGTACATACGAAGACACGCTGTAACAGCAGCCACCACAGCAATCACATCTTACAACACTATTACACAATCGTTACCAATTCCAGGCTCAACGCGATCAAGCACAAGAATAATACGAAGCGAACACCAACAATGGACCACGGCCTAAAATCCTCAAGGCTATGACTCGAAGGGGGTTGGCACAACAAAAATTTAATAACTGACATTCAAACGTTCAAAGTTGGTTCCTCACGACCTCAGTCCTAGTTAGCTAGCTAGCTTCACAGGATCTAGGAAGCTATTTCCTGCTTCATTGATTCAACCTCGAAAAATATTATTGTGATTCCGTCTGCATTGGCACCAGAACAGCCCCAGAGTCATACCTGTTATTGACGTTTCCATCCACCAGATCGCTCCTTGTCCTCTCGTCAGCCATCTCCACATTAGTACTAGTAGCTCCAAACGTCCAAGACAGCGCTTCGATCACCAAATATCCTACATGTGCTGCGTCGGTAGGCTCTGAAGCTAGCGAGCCATTCAAATATTCTGACATCAAGAGCGGAGTTGGCGAGGAAGGAACGAACGGGGTGTGTACTGTGTTCCACTAAGCAGCTCCGATACTGCTCGAACCGGCGCTGATATTGGATGTCAGCGAACGCACTAACACCCACTTCGGCCACCTCGATCGGTACTGACGAGGTACTTTGTAGATCGATTTCCGGCGATGGGTTCTGTGCAAAGGAAGTCCCTATACCTTTCGGTGACAAACTCAGCACGTAAAAGTCGTTGCGAAAAAGAAGACAGAATTTAGAAACCCACGGCCACGTCAGTCCGGCCTGGTGCAGGCTGACTGTACACCATGGTACACAGATGAGATGGTGCTGGTGCACCGCGTAGATCTACAGTCTAGTACAGAGCGAGGCTAGGCTCTGGATCATTCAAAAAAGGAAAAAAGGCTCTGTCGACATGTCGTCGATCGATCGCCAGTGTCGGCGCTGAAATGGCACTCGCTAGACCTGTTTGTGTATGTCACGGTGACTTCTGACTGGTGCCCAGCTAGCTCAGGAGTTAGTTGGCATGCTGCAAGCAACACGATTCCTGTGTGACTTCCGTCACGAGACTAGATGGCAGCAGGTCATGTACACGATACTGTATTTGACATGTCGATAACTAATACTTACGACGATAAGACACTTGCACTGTAAATAAAAATACTAAGTGCACGTTTTATTTACTACATGTATACAGTCATACCGCAAGCATTCGTTGGTGGTGTACACTTGCACTGCAGATGATCGATGATCTCTCGAGTCTAGGCCGATCGGCATGAACGACGTGGGTGCACTGCATACATTACATGGCCGGGAAAAGCGATACTCGCACGTGTGAAGTACATGAAGTCACATGAAATCGGTCATGCACTATGCACAACACTCAACACTCAACTTTGTCTCAAGCCTCATCTTTACTCAAGACAAGCCAACCCAAGAGTCGACCAGTCATGAGTCAAGATTCGAGATCGCACCCGTCACGGTACGCGGTGCCATTGAAATACCGCCGGTGTGAAACATTAAAGCACGGAGATTCATTGCAAATGCAAGCAAGGAAGCAGTCGCCTCATATCCATGATATCAGTGTGGTGCGACTTTTCTTTGCGCTCCAGCACGTCTCAGGTCTGGCCAGATCGCAGGGTATCCAGAAGGTGACTCACAAACACTGCCACGATGCGCTGTCACATGTAATACTAATGATTTCTCTGCGAGCCTGGGAGCCTGAGCCTGGGATGGTGGCATCGCTACTCAACGACGACATGTAGACGTGGTGGTTGAGCACTCCTGCCATCAGCTGGGCCATGGGCCTGGGATATTTTTGGGCTGAAACAGTGGAGGATTGCGGTAACAATGGTCCCCACGCTGAGACTGGAGCAGTGGTCACAGGTGGGTGGACGATGTTGGTGAAGCTGGGACATCTCGGTTAGCAAGACTACACAGTACTCTTGCTGTTAGTTATAGCTTTGCTGTTGACATCCCCCAAAACGATAACGGCGAGGAACACCTCCATGGACATCGATCACTTGAATCTCACCGACACAGCCTGTGACAGGGGACCAAACGCCAACGACTCATGTCGTGCGTTGTGTGTAGATCTACGTTCGGATCGGAGGAGTAGTAGACTCTACTGTAGAGTTGGTACTCAGTGGTAGACTAGTTGCCTGGTCTGCTGGCTGCTGTGACCCTAGTCACCCCGCACTGACTGAACGACAACCTGGGAAGCAGTGTAGAGGAGACGGCTCGATACCGGAACGTTTTGACAGCCAAATTTGTATAGACCCAAAACGATCATCAACGTTGATTTTTCACTCGAAATATGTTTGTGGAAGGAAACTGGCATGTTGAAGTTTGCTCTGGGGCCAGAGTCAATCGAACTGAGCCACTCCTTTGTGTTGACCCATTGCCTCCAAGTTGCCCAATTTTTCGCTTCAAAAAAGTTCAAATCAGAGGTGGCTCCAAACCGGACACGTTTTAGAGTGCCCGTCAAATTCACTCTGGGTCTGAAATTAGGTAATTGCTATCGCTCCACGACGGCCAGTACAGAGTAACAATAAGCCTTGTGTGTGCTTCCATTAGTTTTGATTGGTATGCGGTGCTTTATTGTCGAGAGGCGAGCCGCTGTTTACCTGCGACAAGAAGTTGATTTTTCGAAAGTCGTAAAACTCAAGTCGCAGTGCGAAGCAACACGTCAAAAACTCACCTGCTTGATATGGCGCTTCTGGTCATCGCAGAGCCATGAAATTTTGGCTCGGAGTATAACACATCGTAGTCTCACTGTGACATATGTTTTCTAATCAAAATACCAAGAGAGAAAGTGAATATTGAGTCCGTTCCGGTTTGCAACCTATTTCCTATTTGAAACCGTCGCCTCTACTGAGTCCATAACCAACTCTTGGTACTACGCGTCCAGGTATAGAGGACTTTCCATTACATCACCTTTTTGGCGCCTTCCCGGTGTCCACCCAAAGATCACTCATAAGACAAGTCCGTGTCCTACGGTAAAATGTGCTTGGGTGGCAAAAAGAGAATCAAAATGTGTTGTTCGGTGTACGGTTCAAATGATGTTGCAGGCCGTCGCGGTGGTGAAGCACTTTTGCTTTTCTTTGATGTGGTGAATAGTTTCGGTAAGTCGCGAGGATTACTAGCCGCAGTTATTCCAGCCTTGAAGAGGCGTTGCCGCGAGAAGATTGACAGAATCCGTGGGCCCAGTACATTGATCCATATTTACCTCTGGACGAAGACCTTTCAGCCAATCCCCCTGCGTTGGGTATCCAGGCCTCTCTAAATATTTAGTGAATGTCCCCAGCGCATATGCAAAGGACTCTCTAAAGGCTTACAATAGCCCTGATGGATACAAATGCATGTGTCTCATTGCTGGCTGGGTTGGCACATTATCGTGTCTTGCCCAATCGAAGGAAGAAACAACAACTGTCAACAAAATTCGTTTGCAAACGTCAGGCACTCGCGGAGTGTTTTTGCTGAACCTGTCCATCCTTGGGTAGCTGCTGAATTGCCTGGAATTGTTCTTGGCGCACACTGCACTTGCATGGTGGGCCTGGGAGAAGCATGCTCCCATGTTGCTGCAGTGCAGTGTTGTTTTGACTGAATTCACGCTGGAGACTGAAATGTGATGTGTGCTGAATGTCAACACCTACACCACTGGGTCACCAGTGGCTGGCACCGTCAATGAACACTACACGAAAATAGTGTACATGGATTTTACTTCAGCTGGGCAGAAATTGGAGCACCGTGCCCATAACCTACAAGTAGTCTCACTTCTCTTTCTCTGTCTCTCTTGCTTCGCATGCCTGTCAGTGTATCCATGTGTGTGTGTGTGTGTGTGTGTGTGTGTGTGTGTGTGTGTGTGTACGTGTGCGTGCGTGTGTGGGTTTTTCTTCCTTATCAGTACGAGTATGACAATGTTGACATGTGGTGGCTGGTAGCATGAAAGCTGACAAAGTCAAACACGGCCATCATCATCATTGCTCCTATGTAGCCAAAAAAGCTGGTGTAGTGGCGAACTTAGTTGTCCTGATCTTAAAACACGCTGATGAATGCACATCCAATACAGCAATTGTTTTTTCTTGGTCGTCCCTCGACCTGGCATTCTCCATAAGCAGTTGCTGATTACCGGTAGAGTGTCCAGTCTTCCATTACTGCCTTTGCAAGAGTTACACAAGAAGTAAGATCAAGATGATCCTAACCACAAGAAGATCAAGAAGCTGAATACATGTACCTAATTGACCAGACAGACAGAAGATGAGGTATACTAGTATGTGCCGCAGCAGATGAAGAACTGCACAGCGCAGCAACCAAGTGGGAAGCAGAAGAAGATTGCGCAAGTAGGTCGATCAGAGTATTTATCCATGACAAAGGAAATACACATTGTGCAGAACGTGAAGCACACACACTCGCATGGAAGAGATAATGCCGGAGTTGCACCCAGGGCCAGTACTAGACTATAGCTAGCACCACCAGTCATGTAGAGGCACGTGCATAATAGAGCTGGGTACATTAGTCATTACCATCAGCATCAGCACTATCAATCATCAAACTCCAGCTATACCTTGCACCCCAACAAACTAAGTAAGTTGATAGTGTTCGGAATCATCTTCGTGTTTCCGCCTTTACTGGTGCTGCCACAGATGAGCTGAACAAGTTAGTTAGTTAATTCGATACGTACTGGGGTGACAGGGATGATCATGACTTTTCTCTTCGCCAACGAAGTGATGGAACAATATTCGTGTACTTCGAAGTATTTGCATAAGGAGCGAAGTTCTCGAGTCGTGTGTCCGTCATCCACTGGTTCCGTCGTTCTCCATCGTAGGGAAAACGATAACAACTCAAAGACGATCCAGGTGTGGGAACATCCGATCGCGAGCAGCCCTTTGGTATTCTCAAACTACAGAATGCAAAATGGAACTTCTTTCGAAAAACACTGTTTCTTTCCAGTGCAGTCTTCTTTTTTTGCCACCCAAGCTCCGTTTCAAGTCCGGTGATCGGTGGTGAACTCGATGATCTTTGGCCCGAATCCTCATAGGCCGCACGGTATGACTCATTGGAAAGTCCTCTTATACAGTCCATTCAGAAAAAAATGAACTTCTAGCTTTTGGCCATAAATGGGTCAAACGTTGAGTTTTTTTAGAATTTTTTTCTGCAATCCCATATGGAATCCTCTTCCAATTATGTTTCTGAAGTTCTTTTGTCCAAAAAGCAAGCCATAGCAAGAATAGGATTTCGGCCAGGTTTTGCCCCAAAAGCACTGAATTGGAAAAAACCATCAAAATCCAGGCCGTTTGACCCCGCCTGCAACAGTGCATTCAGCGGTTCGAACCCCAGTTCAGGCACCCTTTTGGACCCTTTTTCAAATTTCAAAGTTCGCAGCACTGCACTGTGTACGATGAAATCACGAAAAATCGCCAAATACGGGAGCTCGCCAGAGCCAGGACCCATCTTTTTATGAATGGACTGTAGAGTCCCACAACAACATCTCGGCTGGCAGGACAGGTCATGAGATCAGAAACAGGAGTCGCCAGACATCGCTGTCATCAGTGAGATGTGATGACTGTAATGAAGTCCCCTGCCGGTTTTATTTCTGGTCTGATCTCCAGTGCGGCAGTGTACCATGGTGTACATGTAGTAGTACTACCACTGGTACTTATTACCGTTAGCAGTAGTCATGGTAGTGGAGCATACAATCATGATGAGGTGGACAGGCAGTTGGATAAGCCGCCAGTTGTATTCAGTGCGGATCTTTGACCAAACCTGAGTGAGGACGTCTAGGTGTGGTCTGGTGATCTGTCATGTTGACAGGACAAATACTGTCTGTGACCATGCAGTACACCAGGTACACACTGGCAATCTTGTGTTTGTGGGACCATGACCCCCCTCCCCCATAGCCTACTTGTAGTCGCTGGGCTAGCTAATGTTCAGTCACTCTCAGCCAGAGCTCTGCTCAGCCAACAGGACCCAGAGCAAGGTCAACACCACTCCATAACGATAAAAACTCGGGTTGCCACGAGCATTTTCATTCTGATGCCGGATGGTCTTTGAGGTTGCCCAAACTTTGTGCACCATCATTCCGGGCTCGCGGGCCTCCCGCTGGTGTGATTTGGCCCGAATGGTAGGACAGCAGCAGAATCCTTGCCCAGATCTCATCCAAAAGCGGCACTGCGCGCGCGCTCTCTCTCTCTCTCTCTCTCTCTCTCTCTCTCTCTCTCTCTCTCTCTCTCTCTCTCTCTCTCTCTCTCTCTCTCTCTCTCTCTCTCTCTCCCTCCCTCCCTCCCGCCTCTCTCTCTCTCTCTCTCTCTCTCTCTTTCTCTCCCTCCCTCTCTCTGTCTCTGTCTCTCTGTGACTGTCTGTCTGTCTGTCTGTCTGTCTCTCTCTCTCTCTCTCTCTCTCTCCTTGAAGGTGTGTACTCTTGCATGCTGGCCTACACTGCTGTGCGGCTACCCAATGAAATCCGATCGCTCGAGTCAAGTTTGCATCCTGCACCAGTTCACATACCAGTGTTTGCAGGTTTTGAGGGCTGCACAACACCCGGCACTGCGTGGACTCACTATTCTGAGACTTGATTTCATAGACGGCAGCACTTGAAGGGGGGGGGGGGGCACCTTCAATGGCTTGGGTTGTGGGTTCCAGCCAGAGAGTCGCATAAACTCGTTTTTTGTTTTGTTTATACGACTCCCTGGTCCGAGTCTCATGCCATCGTGAGTGCCGATTCAGTGTTGCAAAGGAAGGCTTCCGAAGCACTGTACCGGTACCTGACCGCCGTACGGGATGATCAACGCCATGCAAGTAACTAGTTTCAGCTGCACAGCATGAAGAGATGGCCTCATGCCCTGGATCAACATTTCAGAAGCACGGCACGAAGAGATCGCCACGGCGCACCGCAGTAGACTAATCCACGATGTACAAAATTCCAAGTACAGTACTGGCCAAAGAAATCCAACGCTATGAATAAAATAGCGCCGGGCGCTGCGCGTATACGCAGCCCTAGCACTACACACACTGGTCTGTGCACTCGAACACGGTGCTACTTTATTCATGAGGTTGGATTTCTCTGGCCAGCACTGTAGTACAGAATTACACTGACCGCACACACTATTAAACAATACGAAGGTTTGATGATTGGGAATTGTAATACCAATGCGGTGTTAATCATGTAGTGCTAACACAGTAGCCGAATAATAGTACTAGCGGTATCGACCGTATCCTCATCACATCGGTGTTGCAGCTCAACTGTTACGGAGTGACGATAGCAACAGCAACACAATCAAAATAAAAGATCCCATAGAGTAGTACTGCAACATAGGGTGAATCGATACTCAATAGGTATTACTGTTTTGCTCTCGCATGTATTGTCCTGAAGGCAGGCTAGATGGGTTAAAACAGCATGATAAAACATCTGGAAAATGCCAGACGTAGAAGTTGCAGCTCAGCATGGATGACCATGATCATATCAGCAACTGGCAGAAAAAGAAGAGTTACATGAAGTTGGGGAAAATGAGCAACAGGTACCAGCCTGCAACAGGTACCAGCCTGCAGCATGACCAGAACATAAACACGAAATATGAAAAAAAGCAACATTTGTGACAATTGTCGCAAACCTGTTACATACGTGCACGCACGCCTGCACACACACACACACACACACACACACACACACACACACACACACACACACACACACACACACACGCACACACAGTCAGTCACAGTCACAGTCACTCACCAGTGGGTGTATCTTGCCAATAAATACAGTGTGACTAGATCAACCTCAGAGCAGCAGCGTTAGACACTGCTACATCAACAAAACCATCTAGCGTACAAGATGAGACTGGCGTGGCGCTTGCAGAGGTTCATTATCAGCAACCGTTACTTCATGCACTCGACTGCGAAACTCATAGCGCACACGTAGGCTCTTGCGCAATCCCGGCGCTGGATCATAGAATCCCGGCAAGGAGGACTTGGATTCGGAATTAATGATAAGTTTGGAGTCCTTGACGAGGCACTGCGTAGCTACTTGCACATCAGCCACTTCGATATCAGCATCACGGACTGTGGATGAGCCAGGTAAGCGATGAGAGACCAGGACCCCATACCAAGCATCCTGTACAATGAGACCACCGCGAGCTTGCTCACTCGCAACGGAATTGTCATAGGTAGCACCCATCAGGCGTACAAACATTGCCGCTTCGTTGCGCTTGACACTAGTCGCGGTTTGCTGCCGCTGTCGATCCTCTGCTCGCTGTTCCCGCGATACGAGATAAGTGAGAGGCTTCACAACACAGTAACGCATGATACCGGCCGTGACAAGCGGCAAGAAATGTGCGTAGAATAGTGCTGTCGGTGAAAGGGAGTCAGCCAGCTCTATGGGCACTTCGAAATCCTGGTTCTGGTACGACACACTGAATGTAGTACACACACGGCAAAGTCAGAGGAACACACAGAGAGAGAGAGAGAGAGAGATAGAGAGAGAGAGAGAGAGAGAGAGAGAGGGAGAGAGAGAGAGAGAGAGGGAGAGAGAGAGAGAGGTAGGGAGAGAATGAGAGAGTGTGTGTGTGTGTGAGAGAGAGAGAGAGAGAGAGAGAGAGAGAGAGAACAGGTGGTAAATAACAGGCAACAAAAGAAGTCAGCAAACATGCATGGCACACATACAGATACACAATAAAACGCTGTGGACCCTGACTAGCACCAGACGCTACTATTCGTAACGTCTTTTGCATAGCTACGGGAATGCTCTGCTATCGTCTACAGACACACTGCATTCGATTGCCCCGTGTACCTGGCATTGACGTTAGCTACTGGAAGCAGCAGCACACACTCCCCAATACACATGTATGTGTATGTCTTGTTGTCCACGAGATGCATGCAACCCTACCGAGCTACCATCCATTGTCCCCTGGTCGGCATTAGTCAACATCTCAATGCGAGGAGTTTCCCTGAAGAGTTTGAGCAAGAGTACCTAAGTCAGAGTGTGCAACAACACAGCTGGTCTGGTTCATGGCGGAATTTTGTTGCTGACGTTAACTATATCAGAGAGCATGACCCATGCAGTCTAAAGCACCCATGAGTATGTGCTGGGCGCCATTCTTCATCAGGAGTTTACGGTTTTTGCCGCTATCAAAAAGAGAAATTAACTTTTTCTCCCATTGCTGAAGTGTTTTATTATCACAGTGCAAGTTTAGCAAACATAAAAACCGCCCAAGCTCAAGACGCGTAATGCATGCCTTGTACTGTACGAGTCAGGACCTCCAGAAAAAGGTGACATCAACAAAAGGTTCCGTCAAAGGCCCAACCAAGCGGAGTCGCACACCCTGGTTTATGTACTTTTTGGTTTGACGTTTCTTATCTAGAAACTTAACAACTACACACAAGGTGTATGCAGAATCGAAATAACAAGCTACTTACGCCAGAAAGCATCCAACGGCTCCAGGTAGTTTAACATACACGCCCAAGCTGATATCCGTATGGTCGTTAAGACCGTAGCGCAACGCATAAGACAAGCGTACACTCTCTGCACTGAGTGATGCCTTAGGCTCCAAGACCGCCGACGGCGCCAGCTGAATAGGATGGAGTAGTTTGAGCACTGGCGGTCCACCGCTGCGCAACTCAAACGACGCTGCAGTTGAGTTGCAAGAAATCGTGGTGGTCAAGCACTCCGGCTTATCCGTGAGCGGATCCTCAGAACTATAACGCATCTGCACAGAACATGGGCCAATACGACGGCCAATAGTAGCAGAGGCGGTTGGTATTATTGAGAACGCCATACGGTTGAAGTCGCCGTAAACGTGCCGCAGCGTTCCGTGCACAGAGAAGTGAAAGTCGCCAGGTAAGAGCATGTGATACTCCAGCTCTGCATGATGCATGCTACCCAGTCCAACACTGCCCTGCACACATGATCCACTTTTGAACACGTGCCGATACGTGCCTACAACACTTCCAAACGTTTTGCCAGTCTTGGTCGTCTGCAGCGCCACCTGGCAGCGTAACGTGTCGCGTGCAGTGAGGCCGAATTTAAACGCTTGACTCATTGCTAACTTCTGGATGGTGAAGTACGGCGGAGACCCTTTCCTCTTGTCGCTGCTCTGCAGAAGCAGAGGCTTGGCATTCACAGCCATGGCCACATTGCAGCTTGGACTGCATTGGATTCGATTTCTTTCCTCACATAATTGTCTATTGAATCTAGAACGCAACTCCTCAACCTCCAGCGCAGTACAGCATGGCGTGCTTCCAGATTGGCCAACCGACTTCTCTGCTCTCAAGCCTCTCCATCCATGAGTGTCATAGACGAATCTCTTCTCAGGGTTTGACAGAACATCATATGCCTGCTTGATGTTCTCAAATAGCACTCGAGCTTGCTCTTTGTCTGGAGCATTGTTGTGCTTGTCTGGATGGAAAGTAATGCACATTCGACGGTATGCACTACGCACATCTTCTCCAGAGGCATAGCTCGGTACATTCAGGGACGAATATAGTGAAGGACCCTCCACATCTTTCCAGGGAGAGCCACCAAAAACAAAACCTTCTTGCTCCTCTGCCGCCATTTTTTGGATGTTCTATTTTGTTGTCGTAGCAACATCTACATCATGAAGGAGTGAATTATTATTTTGTGCATTTCATTATTCGAAGATTCAAAAGATTTCAAAAACCTAGGGGTCTGTGAGTCGTAAACTAACTAACTAAAAGACTCCCTGTGGCATGGTACAGTTATTTTCTATTCATCTTGTTCATGAGTTTACTAATGACAGCGACACTGAGGGAAATGATGACGCTTTGTCTTATACCTGTTCCGGACTTGATAATGGAGTAGCCCAGAATGCCTGCTGCTGATGGATTCTTCGGAACTCCTCTCCTACTTTGCGAGTCCCACAGGTGATCATTTTCATGTGACCTCGTATATTACTAATTTAGTAATTGCCATATTGATTGAGTTCAGCAGTAAAGCTTTAGCATAATTTAACGCAATTTATAAAAAACATGTGAAACTTGTTTGTTCTGAACGCTGCATGTGCGCGTAGCCGTGCTGTGAAAAGCCATGGTTTCCAGAGGGTCCAGGAAGGTGTGTTTGAAACTCTCTGCAGTGGTCGGTTCATACATGTAGTATCAGATCATATTCAACAGTGAACATTCTAATCGCATGCCTGATAAGCACATTATAAACCGTGTGTTGAGTTCCTTGTTTCTGAAACGTTTGCAACTCTCTCCATCCCGCTGATACACGTGTTGTACACCATCGGCATTAGAGAGGTTCCGCATAACGTAATTACGTTAGTAAAAACGTAGTCGATCTACGGAAAGTCTTACGTAAACTGCATGCGCATCTTTGTTCCGCCATACGGAGTTTTCAAATCACGTAGCTACCCTTGACAACGCGGCAGTGTACGACCAGATCGACCTGGGGAGAGAGTCATAAATTTGTACCCCAATCCACTTACGGACCAGGTACGTTATCAGAGCCCTATCTACGTACTCTACGTAGACAACTTTCCGTAAGTGGAGTGCAAACTCGCGAATTCACGGGTTTTCCCGCCCACTAACGTAACATAGTGTGGAGCCTCTCTATTAACGGCCACTTTGCTTTATAGGCGATTCTCACACAGGCCAATCAATGTTTACAGGGAAATCACCATGGAAATATTCCTGCGTGCGACCAAACTTTGTCCGCGGGAATCAAAAGTGTCCATGAGCATTTTGACGGCGGATGCACTCATCTGCGGGCATTTTTACAGGAATGAGCCAGTGAGGTTGTACTATCGTACGGTAGTCTTGAACCCTGGTTGTTTGGCCTTGGTCTTTGGGTACTCATTCCAAATCTCTACGGTATCACCACAGTAACGCCGTATACTCACCGAATACTCGCGGGAACTCTGGCCGCCACTCGCGGCCGTGTGAACTGCGGACTCACGTTTCACTTCCTGCGGTCACCTGACAAACGTGGATTTGCCTGTCGTGTGAATCGCCTATTACTAAAAACCAAGAAAACTCAACGCTTAGCCTTATGTTTACAGGATGCATAGCCGCTAGTGTTGCGTCAATGTGTACATATACCTAAATAGCACTGTAAAACCAGCGATGGGCCGGGCCGGGAGGATTGCACAATGTTCAACATTCCCGCACGCTTTGATCCGATCCAGTTCACTTTGAACAAACACGGTGGCTGATGTAATCGTGGAATTTCGCCGTGACATTCACCCATGCAGAAATAGTCCGAAGCTGCACTCTCTGTGCTTCGGGTACTCTTGCTTAAACTGGCCAAAATAGCTTTTGTGTGTGTGTGCGTGTGTGCATGCATGTGTGTGTGCGTGTCTATTTTCGTTACTACTGGAGCAGTAATTACTGAGCAAAAGACGAGGCAGTGCCTAGCACGTCTGAAGAAGCACAGTCAGAGCCATGGCCTAAGTAACCAGGAATGTCTGCAGTTGATTCAAGCTGCCAGTAGCTCTCGGTTTGGTAAGTGTGATGGTGGAATGTTGCCATCGTAACACACTCTAGCTGCAGGCGTATTGCATACTGTGCCCACAAAGCCACATGTCTTCCTCACTGTGGTGCGATGAAGCGTTTCTAGGTTGTTTCTCGTTGTATTGCTGTGTATCACATCCTTGTCGCCTCATTACTATCTTTCTCTCTCTCTCTCTCTCTCTCTCTCTCTCTCTCTCTCTCTCTCTCTCCTTTCTCTCCTCTCTCTCCTCTCTCTCCTCTCATCCGAGCCATTCAGCATAATCAAGGTTGTGGCCTCAGCAGCCTGCTGTTGTACTAATTCAACGCATGCATACAACCCAGCTCCTCAAAATGACATTATCGTTATACATTTTGACTCTAACCTGTTGCAGTACATCTTGTGCATCGCTTGAATGGTGCTCCGAGTGGGGAAAATCAGCTAAAACTCATGTTCTACCCCTCAATTCAACGCAAGCAATCATTTCGGATAATTGATCATTCGGATAGTTGACGTTTGGATAATCGTCACTCTACTGTACATGTACTAGTAGCACCACACTGCCATGTGTGGTGTTGTTGTACTGGATGGTGGAGCAGGTAGACCAGATGGAGCAGGTAGATCAGCATGCTTGCTGGTTAGGCCATGCTACAGCAGGTAGACCAGATGGAGCAGGTAGATCAGCATGCTTGCTGGTTATGCCATGCTACACTGTATCAGTGGAATGTGATACAATGTAGTAGCAGTGAGCTGGACTATAGTCCTTCCTTACTACAGAAATGGCCGAGGTCCTTGAGTACATCTAAATCTAATGGGGTCTGTGCCTCCATCATAGCATTTGCCAACTGAACGTGTTATATTATACCTTCCCCTCTGTAGCCGTACACATACTTCTAGATGTGACACTAGTGCATGGGTAATACAGAATTCAGACAGCGAGTTTCTACCGAATTCGGTGTGAATTCTGTGTATTGCCATTATCTTAACGTATGAGATAGTGGTAGCGACTTTGGCGATGAAACAAGGTAATGGCATAGGAAAGATGTTTGCTCCCCACGCCGGGGCTCGCGCTTTTCCGCCGACTTGTGTGGACATATTATGTCTTCATTGCGTCCAAACTTCGTACTACAGATATCACTATGTCACTATTGTTTGCACTTTGCACATACACGTTTTACCTCCACTTGTTTATTGCCATCATCACTAGCACAGCGCTGCACTTACACACACTGTCTTTGTCACCGCACGCCATGTAGTGCTGCAAGGCTGGAGAGCTTGTTACTGTGTTCTTACACAGATTCTAGCACAGCGCTGCACTTACATACACTGTCTGTCTGTGTAGTGTCTCCTGCACTTACATACACTGTCTTACATACACTGTCTGTCTGTGTAGTGTCTCACCTTGTTCTGGTATAGCTCTGATTCATTTTAATGCGGTTATCTTTTCCCTGGTGTCATTGTTGTTCTACTGCCTTTCAGATCCACAGGTTTCTTGCCAGCTGGTACAATGCTTGCTACCCGCAGAAGTGGTTTCAGCTAGCTGTGTCTACTTCACTATATCTGTGTTATCTAGTGACATTGCTTGTCAAGACGCACAAGTAAGTTGGCTCTGGGCCCACTGTGGCTAGCTACACTAGTATTTGGACAACTTTTCCTCTTGTGTGCCTCCAAGTCCTCAGTAGGCATGTGTGTGTGTGTGTGTGTGTGTGTGTGTGTGTGTGTGTGTGTGTGTGTGTGTGTGTGTGTGTCATGTGTGCGTGTGTGTCGTGTGTGTGTGTGTGTGTGTGTGTGTGTGCGCACGTGCATGTGCATGTGTGTGTGTGTGTGTCATTCAGATCTTGTCCGCTATTGTTGCTAGAAGAGAAAATCTGTGGGTGCACATCCAGTGCATTTGCAGATTTGCGTGCTTCTCTTGCGATAGGCGTATACATGGTACATGGTACATGGTGTGTGTGTGTGTGTGTGTATGTGTGAAACGGAGTGACATAGCTGTTGAGCACTTTGACCGACATGCACCCACCTTCTGCAACACATACCTGATAGTGTCCTGCTTCAATCTGTTTCTTCTTCCACTTGACAATACGTTGACGATAACCTCCCCTCTACAATCCTTGTTGCTGTTTTGCGTGTGCCTTGACGATGACCTACCCTCTACAATCCTTGTTGCTGTTTTGTGACTATTGTTGTTTTGGCTAGGTGTTACTGCTAGAATGGCTGGTTCAGATTTATCCGTACATTCGTATGGATCACATCTTTGCACAGCTGTACAACGTGATGGTTCACTTACTCAAGCAATCCCATCTGGTTAGTTTCCAGTTACATGTAGCTTGTGTGTGCGTATGGGGTGGGGATGGGGATCTGGGGTGTTGGGGGGGGGGGGGGGTGAGACGGTGCTGGTAGAGCCTGCCTTGCTCAGCCGACCAGAGGTCTGGGTATCTTTGATTAGCAGGCACACCAAATCAAGGGGAAAGCATAAGTACGGATGAAATAAAATATTTAGAACAGAGGGAGGACCTAATTTGGAGCACAGCAGAGAATAACAAAATAAATAAAACAGAAAATCGGAGCGCAGAAGAATGTCAAATGAAGGGTACACAGGGGCGTCGGAAAGTACTTTAGTGTGGTACGGTCAGGTCAGCCATCTGAAGTACAATTTACTTGGGGGGGGGGACTGAGCCGAAATTTTTTAAAATTTAGAGCCCAAATCAGTGCATTTTATTGACTCACGGGTACTTGGGGCAAATAGTGGTACGGTTAATACCGTAGTGACCGTACCGTGTGCGACGCCCCTGGTACAATAAGGACAGACGTGGAATTTGGCTACTCAGGATAGGCAAGAATTTGGCTTGGGGTGGGAGAAGCACAAACATGATCCCGAAAAAAAGCTAGCGACGGTCTGTTGCCCAATCCCAGTCAGCCTGTCGCAGGTGGTCGTAGACTTTCCTCTTGAAGGTCTGCATTGACTTCTGGGAGGGGTGGGCACTGAGGATAGAGGCCGGGAGGCAATTCCAGGTCTCAATCATGGAGTGAGTGGGGGAAGGACCGAAGGACATCGCTCCGAGGCTGAGGTGGGGTAGTCTTTGCCAGCTGGAACGGGTGGTGGGTCGCGATTGTGCGGACATTGGCTCGGGTGCTCATCCGCAAACTTCAGGCGTATGGCATGAATGGCAGCTTCCATCCCACTTTCGTGTCCTCCGCATAGCTGCAGGTAGCCGAGTGATGGCCAAACAGATGATTTGCGGGATGACCTTCCAAATGATTCACCGTAGTACTTCACTAATGGCTATGGGGCGTATACCAGGTTCCTTGTCAAGCGGAACTAATCCACATACAGACTATGATACAGACTGCGAAGTCTCAGAGATGCGGGTTCAATGTAGATAGTAGCAATATGCCGCATACACAAGCTGCAATGGATGGCCTTCCCACTGATTCGCCGTAGTGCTTCACCGATGCCTATGAGGTGAATATCTGGTTCCTTGCCGGGCGGAATTAATCGGCATACGGAGTGCGAAGTTTAACCCTTTAAGAGCCGCCCCATACTTGAATGCGTCGTAAACGACGCATTCAAATGCAAAACTTCAAAAGACCGTAACTCAGTCCAATCTCGCTCAAATCCAGTGATCGAAATATCCAGGGCGAAGAGAAAACTCTCACCTGTCGGGAGAAACAATCCGCGAAGCGCTGCGAGCAACGGTTCCTGAGATAAATCACTCGTAAGTTGAGCCGCGATCGCGGCAATTTCAAAAGCGCGCAGTGCGACTTTAGTATTGAGAATTTTGAGACTTTTCGTCACGCTGGTTTACTCGAATTTGCACGGGTTTCACTGTTGATATTGTCAAGAGTACACAGCGAAAAAATTGGAACTCCACGATCCAGTAAAATGAAATATCTGGAGCGGGACGCAATTGGACGCATTTGGGGCATTTTTCGTACTGTCGCTGCGATCTAGCGCTGGATAGACGGTGTGCTGGCTATCATGATCGACCTCATTCTCTTCCTCTCGCGGAGACCTTTCCAGGAAGCCCTAGATTGTGAGGATTGAGTGAGTAGAACTGAAGCTATGATCCAAGGAACACGAAAAAATGCAGAATTTTGAAAAATTCCTGTGGCTCTTAAAGGGTTAACAGGCAAAGGAAGGAAGGCAAATAAATAACAAGGCCTATCTGATGCCATCTTGTCACGTGGGGATATAAAAGGCAACGTGTCGATAGCATGGATATGACACCGTTACGTGTCTCGGAGAGACTTACAATACATTATGATGCCATCGGTCGTGGAACGCTGTTGGATGTTTCACAACAGCCGACGGAGCGAATCGAGTTTGATGTAAGATCTTCAGTCATTCGAGAGTCGAGAGAGAGAGAGAGCTCGACTGAGGAACAACGCAATATAAAGGGCCTGGGTAGCTATGGCAAACATGGGCGTGCAAGTAGCTACCCAGGCCAAATGAATAATGCATGAACTTGTGGGCCTAACGTACCACCCCTACTTGAAAAAGAATCCCGCATCCTCGCGGAAAAAAGAGAAGAAAAAAGAGAGAAACAGGTGTCTAAGACTTTTATTTGCGAATATCTTCTGAGAGAACGACATATTTTTTAAAAGGAAAATACAGGTAGTTAAAGCTGTAGTAAACCCAATCATGAATGTAATGTAATGTAACCCAATCATGAATGTAATCGACATTTTAAAAGGCATGCATATAATGTGGATGGCAGCCTCTATGCCTGACTCTTGCCCTCCACACAGCTGGAGGCATCCCGCGGCATTGACGAATAAACAAGGACAGTCCAGCAGTGACGGGAGCAACACTACACGTAAATCACATCTCAGGGTCGTGAGCTGCGGAGGCAGAACTCCGCGTCGAGTAAAAATGGGCGCCAATGTTCGAGCCCCACGTTGGGCGCCAATGTTGGGTCCGAACAAGAGAGGTTTCTTACTCACAGTGCATCGCAAAGAGCATCAGACGATTTCCTGAAAGAGGTGCAAATCCGTCTCCATCCGCCTGCATCCATGCCAGATGGCCCTGCTGAGCCCTGAGTGTGGAGGGCTGCCTTCCTTATTGCATCTCTGTTGATGGAAGCGAAGCGCACAGAGTGCGGGGCGTCTGGAGGTGTACCAAATGTCACTGCTGTTGCACTGATGGGTCCGGCGTGAGGGTGCTTTGTCCCAGACAGTCTCCGTTCCTACCATTGGGTCAAGGCTGTGCACACCGTGGCAGTGGTTAGCTGAGAGGGTGCGCGCGGCCGCACTCAGGTTTCCAGAGGTGACAAGGTTGGCAAAGTGCCTGGCGCTATCCTGGTGCTGTTTGCTGGAGTGCTTGGAAGCTGCTCTGATCTGGTCTTGGATCGTGCGAGCTTCCAGGACTAGTTGGTTCAGGTCTCCGTCTTCCCACAGGACCAAGCGATTCTGCGGGAGCCTCCGGTGTTCGCCTGGTCCAAACACCTGTGCGGCCGCTGGAGCAGGAGTTGGGTGGCCACCATGGCTGCTTTGATGGTGATTCCTTCCGCGGAACCGCGTTCACCAAAACTCTTGTACAGCGATGTTAATAGGTTAACACATTTCGATCCAATTGTGCCGAGTGGCACATCGAACAGGTTTGCTGCGAAGTGGACGGTCTCCTCATAGGCGGCCGCTACCACTTGACGGGTGTCTGTGGCGTCCAGTCTCCCAAGGGTCAACGACCCTTCCGCTGCTGTAAACGCTGGTAGACTACATATAGGTGTGGGTGTGTCGACTTCGACATCCAGCATATCCCACGCCAGCTGTTGAGAGCTGGACACTGGGCTGTACGGTGTACGCGGGTCAGCGGGGCCACTATTATGATGCTCCTTTGCTCCTGTGGCCGTAGTAATACCAGCTGACTCGGTAACTGATGGCGTATCATGGCTGCTTGCCCCCCTGCACGCCTCCAACAGTGCATCAACACTGGCGTCTACATCACCCGCATTCAAATCTGGCCTGCGCGTGCCTGTGCCGCTGGTACAACTTCTGCTGGACGGGGGCGCACGTGCTGGTCGCACAGAGCTAGAGCTAGAGGAACCAGTGGCAGTTTGTAGCGAGTCCGCACTAGCACTTGGCGGCAGTACGGTACGCTCAAGTGACGGTTGGACTGACTGAGCGGCAAATTTGTTCCCCGGTTGTATTTTCGGCTTGAACATCGATCTGTACAATGCTCGACGATGGGATTGGGAGCTGGTGGGACGGTGTTGGCTTGCTGGTATTCGTCAGCTCTGGCTGTGAGGCAGCGACTCGAAGTGCGATCTGATTACTGCACCTGCCAAAGCCGCCAGGCTGGCAGTTCGAGCATTCTCGACCCTCCGTGGAGCAGATACATCTTTTGCACGAGCCGTGCTTATTACAAGTGCAACACTTCATGACTGGACATACCAGACAGTAGCTTTGGATATGACGGCTGCACTTCGGAAACCGGTCGGTGTTCGCTGAATGTATACTCCTACGTATACAGCTAGACAGGATCCACTTACAGCATGCACGCTGAAGACGCTTTGTCAGCTTATGTCGCGATACCACTACCGGATTCAGTCAGCAGTCTCAGAGCTCCAAAACTTGCATCCGCACTCAAAAAAATTTCCCGGGGGAAAAGTGCAACTGCCATTACTACACCCTACAGTGCATACACCATGTGCCATACACCCTACAGTGCCATACACCCTGCAGTGCCCTGCACCATACAGTGCCATACACCCTACAGTGCCATACGCCCTACAGTGCCATACACCCTACAGTGCCATACGCCCTACAGTGCCATACACCCTGCAGTGCCCTGCACCATACAGTGCCCTACTCCCTACACTACAGGGCCATACACCCTACAGTGCATGTACACCCTACTGTGCATGTACACCCTACTGTGCATACACCATACAGTGCCATACACCCTACTGTACATTATGTTTCCTGTCCTGCAGATCACACCAGTCTGCCATCTCCTATACCACGTCACACAGCACACAGACGGTAAGCTTCGATGCTCATTGGCTGGCTTGGGGTTGCTATAGTCACCAGCATGTAAACAATGATGTCAGGTGACCTTCGGAAAGCCCTCATGACTTACATGTATCATGTTTGACTCTACTGACTATAAAGGAAAAAGGACATCTGGAAACGAGTTAAGAGTAACTCTCCACCACTGTAACTAGATACTTCCTCCGCGTCATTAAAATTGTCGCTTCGCACATCGCAATATTTGTGACTTGGCTCTTCTCAGTCAGACTGTCGGAATCGCTGTTTTCTGTGTTCGAACACTGGTGCGACCCTTCCTGCGCAATGTCTACTTGTCACTGAAGCCGTGGTGGTCTCGGACTTTGTCGGAGCTCTCTTCCGCACCAAGCAAATTCATCGCCCTCGGCACTATTCCGCCCCAGAGTGCATTTCGTTTTCTGGAGTTCGTGCCGTCCCACATCGTTCACGTGGGTATTTGTCAAGACTGCAAGCTCGGGTAGAAGAATCCTGGTATCTCTCCTGAATACGAACTGCTGAAGTTGACGATGGCAAGAACAAAGTGGTCTCAAATTCCTAAAATGCGCTACTTGTGGCGCATGTTGCTGCGAAGGTAGCAGGTCTGAAAACACCAACAAAATAAGCGCTTGCCAAGGAAAGAAGGTGCGGAACTGCTTACCCTATCCCGCTGAAAGGTCGTTACAGTGTACTTGAAAAATGCTAGCTTGCCTTCATCGCCTACCACCTGGAGGCATGGATCGCTTGAAAACAAAGTTTCTTGACCTGAATTTGAACGCGCGTCTTGTTCAGCGTATTGTTGAGTGCTGAAGGATCTGCCTCAAACTCTGATGAAGACGTCGACATTAGCTGCAAGTGCAGTGAAGCGGGGGGCCACAAACTAAAGCTTGGTCCGTCGACAATGCTCTGCCTCAATTTCTAGCTGATTTGTTTGCCCTTCGAGTGGACAAAATAATTTCGAAAAATCGCTCTGGGAAGCGACAATTTTAAAGACGCGGAGGAAGTAGTAATAGTACTATATACAGTCAGAAAGTGCAACAACTAGGCACAAAACTTCCAGATGTCCTTTTTCCTTTCTACATTCATTATTGGCTCAATGACCGAGTTTCTACTGGCTATACTGACCATATTCTGTTTTTAAAATGACAGTCTGTTATTGTGGTGTCGAGTGGCCTTATCCTGACTTTGGAACACACAGGTCATCATTTCAGCATGCAATCATGCCACCGTACCACTGTGCCATGTACGATTGACACAATACTTGTTGTCATCCGTAGTCTACACGTGCACCTGCCGTTCACTCCAAGCACCCCCCCCCCCCCCCCCCCCCCATGGCATTGCCATGATGTTTGTCGCTTTGTGTCTCTCCACGTGTCGACCCTTCACCAGTAAAACAAGCTGTAGTTGCTGTCACACAGGCTATGTTGATGTTTTCAAACCAGGTTTCTGTTCAAGCTGCAGTGTTGCAAAGCTTATGCACATTGGTATGACCATTACGCTGCGTGTGTGGAAGCACTCCTCATATATTCGCCGATTACTCGGGCTTACATTCGAACCATGCTTCTGTTCAAGTCACGTGCACTTAAAAAAACACATTACTGGTAGTTAGGTAGTTGGTCTGTAGATAATGTATACTGGGATGTGCAGACACTGACTGTGCTGTGTGCGAATAGACTAGACTGTTGTGATTCAGTTTTGTGTTCTATTTGTCCCAATGCTTCATCGTTGTTGTGTTCCAGTAACGCCGTATTTTTGTCCCAATGCTTTTTCATTGTTGTATTTCAGTAACACCGTATCGCGTGAGTGTGCTGCTGGCACTGCGACAGCAACAGAAGGTAAGACCTGTCTCAACTACCACAGTAGTCCATTGCTTATTCCTCTCTCCCCTATTGACTAGGGGTCCACAAACCCTCCCCTATTGACTAGGGGTCCACAAACCCTCCCCTATTGACTAGGGGTCCACAAACCCTCCCCTATTGACTAGGGGTCCACAAACCCTCCCCTATAGACTATGGGGTCCACAAACCCTCCCCTATTGACTAGGGGTCCACAAACCCTCCCCTATTGACTAGGGGTCCACAAACCCTCCCCTATTGACTAGGGGTCCACAAACCCTCCCCTATTGACTAGGGGTCCACAAACCCTCCCCTATTGGGTAGGAGTCCACAAACCCTCCCCTATTGGGTAGGGGTCCACAAACCCTCCCCTCTTGGGTAGAGATCCACAAACCCTCCCCTATTGGGTAGGGGTCCACAAACCCTCCCCCATTGGGTAGGAGTCCACAAACCCTCCCCTATTGACTAGGGGTCCACAAACCCTCCCCTATTGGGTAGGAGTCCACAAACCCTCCCCTATTGGGTAGGGGTCCACAAACCCTCCCCTCTTGGGTAGAGATCCACAAACCCTCCCCTATTGGGTAGGGGTCCACAACCCCTCCCCTATTGGGGAGGGATCCATGGGCACCCTCCCCCGGTCCACAGGCAGATGTGTTCATTGATTGCTGATGTTTGGGGAATGAGTCTTACAGGGGCCAGGGGACCATGAAAAAGAAGTATAGCGGTCCTGCCAGCGGGACCACCCTGCCAAAAGAGGATTTTTGAGGAGATTGGTTTGCTGCCCTCGAGTGGCCAGGGAGCGAGTACTGTCTGCAGCATATGAAGAATATTGTTGAACTAGCACACTACACTTGCTGTGCATGTAGCTATGAACGAAAAGCAACAATTTCGTGAGGCACAAGCTGAAAATAGGGTGAGTATTTAACAGCGTAAAGAGTACGTCTGGGCAGCAGTTACACAGGGCTATAATCGACAGGCAGTGATCAGTCACCTGCTTTGTACAAAGGAGACACATTTGCCAACTTGAATCCAGCAGGAACTGTTCCAGTGGTCAATGACTTGTTGAGGAGGACTGCTAACCTGGGAGCTACGACATGAGCACATGTGGCGAGGACTAATCCGGGAATTCCATCAGCACAATCATAATTATTGCTTTGGAGATGCTGACTGATTGCGGTAGATGCACACTTTCCTTCTCACACGTTCCTTCTCGGTAACAGGCACGAAACATTCCAGTGTGTATGCATGTGTATGTGTGCACGTGCGCGTGTCTGTCTGTCTGTATGTCTGTCTGTGTGTCTGTCTGTATGTCTGTATGTGTGTCTGTATGTGTGTGTGTGTATGTATGTGTGTATGTGTCTGTCTGTATGTCTGTCTGTGTGTCTGTATGTGTGTGTGTCTGTCTGTGTGTCTGTCTGTGTGTGTGTATTGTGTACTTACAGGACTCTGATCCAGAGTTGGATGCTATCACCGCTGTACTCTATGTCTATCAGTTACATTGTCCACACTTAGTGCCAGTTGACCTTGAAGTCAGCGATGACAAGGTATGGATCAGAACGTGTGTATGTTATGCATTCACGTGTTCGTCTGTGTGCTTGTCCTTTATTGTCAACATTAGTCCTTCGTGAATTGTCACCTGATTGTCCCATATTTTCCATATTTTTTGGTGTTTGAACTTCCTTTTTGAGTGGGTTCATCGTGGAGGTCATTTTACAATGATTTCTCACTCCGTCCCTCACTCCGTCCCTCACTCACTCACTCACTCACCCACTTATTCCCTAACCTACTCACTCGCTCTCAACCACTCACTCACCCACCCGCTCGGATCACTCCCTCACTCACTTCCTCGCTCACTTCCTCACTCACTCACTCTCATTCACTCACTCCCTTGCTCTCTCTATCTCCCTCCCTCTCTCACTCACTTACTCACTCCCTTGCTCTCTCTATCTATCTCACTCACTCCCTCACTTACTCACTCCCTTGCTCTCTCTATCTCACTCACTCCCTCACTCGCTCACCTACCCAATCGATCGCTCATTCTTTCACTCACTCACTCACTCTCTTACTCGCTCATTCACTCACCCACCCACTCACTCACTCATTCACTCACCCACCCACTCACTCACTCACCTACTCGAGGATTTTATTTCTTCACAGTCTGTCATGTTTTCCAACACATCCTTTCGTGGGTATGTCATAACATGGAAATTGGAAACTGAACCCGGAACATTCAACCCGGTGTGGGCCAATAAACGTATTACGAAATACGTGTACATTCCCGTATTACGGAATACGTGTACATTCCCGTGAGACGCACTCAAGCCACGTTGTAACTGTTACGTTCCCCACGCACGTCCTCTGCAAACAGCGGATGCATATCTCTTCGAAATGGACATCCTACGTGTCCATTCTTCCTGGTACGATACCTCCCTGACTCGCTCCCTCCCTCCCTCGCTCCCTCCCTCCCTCCCTCGCTTCCTCCCAGGCTCACACAGTTTGATGGTATGTATGGTCTTTGGCAGTTGTTTGCTATTAAAAGCCATGCATCACCACAGAGCAGTTGTTTGCTATTAAAAGCCACACATCACCACAGAGCAGTTGTCTTTGTCGTTGTCCTGTGTGTATGCTTAGGTCTGGCGGTTATTCACTCTATCAGAATCTCAGAGATCCTGTGCTGCTGCTATCAGCTCTATGCAGGTAAGAGTGGCTCTCATGGTGTAGACGTGCATTAACAAAGTATCAAAGTCTGAGTGTGCTCAAAGCATCAAAGTCTGAGTGTGCTCAAAGTATCAAAGTCTGAGTGTGCTCAAAGTATCAAAGTCTGAGTGTGCTCAAAGTATCAAAGTCTGAGTGTGCTCAAAGTATCAAAGTCTGAGTGTGCTCAAAGTATCAAAGTCTGAGTGTGCTCAAAGTATCAAAGTCTGAGTGTGCTCAAAGTATCAAAGTCTGAGTGTGCTCAAAGTATCAAAGTCTGAGTGTGCTCAAAGTATCAAAGTCTGAGGGTGCTCAAAGTATCAGAGTCTGAGTGTGCTCAAAGTATCAAAGTCTGAGTGTGCTCAAAGTATCAAAGTCTGAGTGTGCTCAAAGTATCAAAGTCTGAGTGTGCTCAAAGTATCAAAGTCTGAGTGTGCTCAAAGTATCAAAGTCTGAGTATGCTCAAAGTATCAAAGTCTGAGTGTGCTCAAAGTATCAAAGTCTGAGTATGCTCAAAGTATCAAAGTCTGAGTGTGCTCAAAGTATCAAAGTCTGAGTGTGCTCAAAGTATCAAAGTCTGAGTGCGCTCAAAGTATCAAAGTCTGAGTGTGCTCAAAGTATCAAAGTCTGAGTGTGCTCAAAGTATCAAAGTCTGAGTATGCTCAAAGTATCAAAGCCTGAGTATGCTCAAAGTATCAAAGTCTGAGTGTGCTCAAAGTATCAAAGTCTGAGTATGCTCAAAGTATCAAAGTCTGAGTGTGCTCAAAGTATCAAAGTCTGAGTGTGCTCAAAGTATCAAAGTCTGAGTGTGCTCAAAGTATCAAAGTCTGAGTGTGCTCAAAGTATCAAAGTCTGAGTGTGCTCAAAGTATCAGAGTCTGAGTGTGCTCAAAGTATCAAAGTCTGAGTGTGCTCAAAGTATCAAAGTCTGAGTATGCTCAAAGTATCAAAGTCTGAGTGTGCTCAAAGTATCAAAGTCTGAGTGTGCTCAAAGTATCAAAGTCTGAGTGTGCTCAAAGTATCAGAGTCTGAGTGTGCTCAAAGTATCAAAGTCTGAGTATGCTCAAAGTATCAAAGTCTGAGTGTGCTCAAAGTATCAACGTCTGAGTGTGCTCAAAGTATCAAAGTCTGAGTGTGCTCAAAGTATCAAAGTCTGAGTATGCTCAAAGTATCAAAGTCTGAGTGTGCTCAAAGTATCAACGTCTGAGTGTGCTCAAAGTCTGAGTGTGCTCAAAGTATCAAAGCATCGAAATCAGAGTGCTCTAACTCCGGCAATACATTGAGCTTCGCATGGGGGTTGGTAACTTTGATGCAGACCAGAAAACGTGCTGAACCAAAAGGAGGCAAATGAGCATAATACTCAATCTCCGATATTACTTAGCGCGAAATTCTAATCGGCTGAATATGACAACAACAGTGGAAGTAAAATACAGTGCATTCTAATGTACAAGTAATTAGGACATGGTTGGCATTTCTTTTTGGGGTCATCCGTAATTATTACCATTTATCACAATCGTACGAAACTTAGAATTCCTGAGCCCCCCCCCCCCCCCCCCCCCCCTCTCTCTCTATCTCTCTCTCTCTCTCTTCCTCCTCCAAACCCTACACATGTAGTTTTAAAATGACAGGTTGCACCGTGATCATAGAAAGTGCTGTGCCCCATACCTACGTTGTGTATGGTCATGATAAACAGTGACATAGTGCTGAACTGTTTCTTACTAGTGTTTCACACACGTTTCTGCCAACGGGGAAGAGCGGCACCAAAGTGTTACGGCTAACCAGCTAACAGCCATCACTGACCTGGCTCAGCTGGACAGGGCACCCGTCTGCTGAAATTTTTCAGTTTCCACGTATTGTAGCCACCAATGAGTTGATCAAGTTCAATTTTTCTGTTGTATATCGCAGATGAGGGCAGTGGTGGCAACGGGGAATTCCCATCCGGAGGGGAACGGCAGCATCGCAAGCAATCAAGTTCATGAAGGGGAAACCCCAGGAAAGAAGGTAAGTACCGGTAGGTAGGTAGGTAGGGTGGATGTACAGTAGGTATCGGTTATAGCGTGGGTGTTTGAAAAACGACTTTCTATTCTTATTTCCGATATTTCTTACACACGATAAATCAAGTGTGGCATATCATATGCATGTGCACAGGGGCAGGAAGATCATCGTACATGCAACGCAGTACTTCTGTGCATGTGGCTGGTCATAGTCCCATAAGCTTATATGTGACTATGCAAAATGAGTTACATGGCCACAACAGTTGAATCTGCAGCACTACGACGCAACGAGAGTCACATCAGAACGGAATTGGACAGATACTATTACTACAGGCGATACACTTTGTACTAATCTGGCATGTTTCGCTACACAAAGTCCATTCTTAGGACCGATATATTCTACTATGGGATAAAATTGCTGGTAAGAATAAATGTGCACTTGAAATCCATGTTATGATTATGAAAACATGAGGGTTCATTCTTGTAGGCAGTATATTCTTTTACACGTCCACGCTATAACCGATACGCACTGTACTAGTACATTGAGAATGACTTCAGTGTCTGATCACACACCTGTGCTGCTGCTCTTTCCTAAGAAATCCAGGCTGCCTGGTAAATTGACATGCGGGCCATTGCATGATTGTTGATCTATTTGTGTATTTATATTTATATTTAATATTTATACAACATCTCCTGGCTCGCCGTAAGGCTGCCAATAGTGCGAATGAGATGAGGGGTGGTAACCAACCACGGCTAACTAAAAACTACATTTAAAGAAGATAAAGATGAGTGTATCGTTATGTTGGGGGTCGTGTTGCTGGCAGCTCTGAGAGAGTCTGGGTTTAATCGTCTCATTATGTTGTTGAGCCAGGGAAGTGCATGCACTTGGTAGCCATAGCTGCTGCTGCTGGAATAGTGCTTAATATGTTAGCCATAGCTGCTGCTGCTGGAATAGTGTTTAATTCCCGTAGCTATGCAGAAGACGTTACTTCAGTAACGTCTGGCGCTAGCCAGGGTCCACACAGCTTTAATTTGGTGTTTGTGTGTTTGTGTCACGCCTGGCGCTATCCCGTATCTGTCCCGTACCGTACCGTACCATCAAACACAGCTGGCCACATACAGCTGGCCGCACTATTCAAATAGGGCTTTCAAACGCAAGATCATACGTGAAGCAACTTGGAAGAATGAGTATGAATCCGAAGTGTATGGGGGAATGCATGTAGGGCGATAGTGCGGGTTCGAATCCCAGGTAATGCCTGAAAAAGATAGGAAAATTGAAAAATTTATAACATCCCTATTCTTTTTGTCGTCATCAAGGCGGTAGACGGTGTCGTATTACCCTCGACTGTACCTGCCTCGTACCTGTACCGTACCTGTCCCGTACCGTACCGTACAATCAAAGACGGCTGGCCACAATGCATTATTCAAATAGGGCTTTCAAATACAAGATCATAACGTGAAGCAACTTGGAAGAATTAGTATGTATGCGAAGTGTATCGGGGGGATGCATGCAGGGCGATAGTGCGGGTTCGAATCCCAGGTTATGTCTAAAAACAAAAAGTAGAAATTTATAAGAATTTATAACATTCCTATGCTTTTTTGTCTAGGTCATCAAGGCAAAAAAGCATAGCGTAGGGCCCTGAGCTTCCAAGCTCTCTCATATGTTAGCCATAGCTGCTGCTGCTGGAATAGTGTTTAATATGTTAGGTGAAGATTCTTCACACACAGCATATGCACGCACTAGTGCCGGTGCACTCACTGAAATCCGACCCAAAGTTTGAAACTGACGCCCTGGACCTGTTCCGATTACATCACTGTACTTGTACATATGTATGTCCAGTCGTATTCGTACCACTTCCAGGGCCAGGACAAGGGCCGTGCCAGTTGAGGGCACCAAATATGCTCCTTGCGTCGGATTTCACCGAGCACAGCTGTACTAGTCTTGTATATTCACGTAGAACACTAGACCACTGACGTAGCTGGTGATTGGTCTTTCATGTGTGTAGTCATGTTGGGCTGTTGTTAGCTGAAACACAATGGGTGGTCGTCAAGTTATCCACTGAAGTATGGAATAGCAACTCACTGCCATGTCTTGTGGTGTGGTGTGACTACTGAATGCTGCTGTGGTGTTATCTGTGTGTAGAGGAAACATGGAGATCTCATTGCTAGAACGCCATCAGGGCACTCATCTCTACCCACACCCACGCTTACCGGGGATGGTGCTATGGCAAACCTTGCAGATCAGCCTGGACCTCGTCAAACACTGGAGTTCTTTAGATCGTTTGCCGCTTCAAAGGTACAGCAGCAGTTGTGGTGCGGTCAGTCTTCTTATTTGTTTTATTCCCGTAGCTATGCAGAAGACGTTACTTCAGTAACGTCTGGCGCTAGCCAGGGTCCACACAGCTTTAATTTGGTATTTGTTTGTGTGTTTGTGTCACGCCTGGCGCTATCCGTATCTGACGGCAAAAAAGCATAGGATGTTATAAATTTTTCAATTCTCCTATTTTTTTTTCAGGCATATCCTGGGATTCGAACCCGCACTATTGCCCTTCATGCATTCCCCCATACACTTCGCATCTATACCCATTCTTCCAAGTTGCTTCACGTTATTATCTTGCGTTTGAAAGCCCTATTTGAATATTGCGGGCAGCTAGACGGTGTCGTATTACCCTCGATCGTACCTGTCCCGTACCTATCCCCTACCGTACCGTGCCATCAAAGACGGCTGGCCACAATGCATATTCAAATAGGGCTTTCAAATGCAAGATCACAATGTAAAACAACTTGGAAGAATTAGTATGTATGCGAAGTGTATCGGGGGATGCATGCAGGGCGCGCGATAGTGCGGGTTCGAATCCCAGGTTTAAAAAAAAGGATTTTTTAAAGAATTTATAACATCCCTAAGCTTTTTTTTGTCTAGGTCATCAAGGCAAAAAAGCATAGCGTAGGGCCCTGAGCTTCCAAGCTCTCTCGTTTGCACACACGACTGTTGCTATCTGCAATGGCATACCTTGTTTTGTTTCGCCTGAATGTGATGTGCAATAACGGATAGCGTACCTATATTATTATTATAATTATCTATTATTATTCTGACTACACTCTAAACGGTCTCTGGGCTATACCTACTAATAATTACCATTCTAACTTTCAGGCCAGGCTCATCATGCTGAGGAAGGGACATGGATAGTGTAGTCAGGCATTGCAGTACTAGTGCGTGCTGGCTGTGTCCAGGTTACTCACGTCCTGTGAGCTCTGCTTGTTCTACCCTGCCCATTGTGACGACTCTGACTTGTGTGCTGTTCTTGCCAACTCAAGTGTTTGGGGTGCCCATCCCATGTGGCAATGTGCTGGTGTTGTGTGTGTATACTGGTCTCTCTCACTGCAGATAGCTGACGACGTTGACGTTGCTGTCCTGGACAAGCACCTCGTCCTCTACTTGCTGGCAAGTGGTGTGGATGTTGTGGCCAGGCTGAGATTGTGCACTAGACTACATACCATACTGTGGAGCGGTAAGGCTGCTGCCATGTCACTCAATGCACGGCAATACTCTGAGTAAGGCTGCTGCCATGTCACTCAATGCACGTGTCGGGGAATCTCAAGCACGCACACAGAGTGCACCCGACACAACGAACACCCACTCAGTTCATATGGTTTACAAATTTGAATGCATGATAGGATTAAAGTAACGGGAAGAGAAATAGAAAGTCGAAACTGTCTTCATGCCATTGCAATAATAATTACAACCACTGAACACCGCGTGGTTGACAGCTCTATCTGCTCAGGGGGTGCATGCATGCGTGCACAGCACACCCACACGTAATGAGTCTGAAGCACATGCCAGTACGTAATATTAGGACGTGACGTGGCAACGTGATACTAGTACATGCCCCCTAGTGACAATTGTCACTAAAAATGAGGAGAAGAAGATAAAAAACGACTTAAAAAAAACAGTACCAATTATCGCAGAATAGGAGCCAATAAATTGAGAAAACAAAACAAAAGAACCAAATTTATGACACACACTATTAAACGTCAATCGTCAGAGACGGCCAAAACACGAATTAGAGTCACGAGTCAGACCCAAACTCGGACAAAGCAGAGAACATAGTGGTCTCAAGAGCCATACCTACTAGGCTCACGGAGCAGGGCTCTGTCGCGGAGAAGACGACCACCAGCGGTGTCATCAGGTACACCAGCCAAAGGCACATGGTCCAACGGCTCGTCATCGATAATACTAGCTACATCTAGTGGCTCAGGGATACGACTGGAATGACTTCCAGCAGGCTTCAGCAGCTCTGTGTTGACGAGTTTTTCTGCTGTGCCACGGCCAATCACGACAGTTGAGGGACCAACGACTCGCTTGACGATCCAACCTTCTTCGAATTCGGGGAGTCGTTTCTGGTGCCGGTGTGGACGGCGGAAGAGAACAGACTCTCCAGCCGAGAACGCTTGAGTTGGCTCCTCGACAAAATCGCAGGACGACAACTCTGATTCCAGGAGATCGTACATGGCTGAGGCGCGACGCTGTATTTCCTCCGTCCAGCGGGGAAACGACCAATCTGTTGGGGTAGCATCCACCACGAGACTGCGGGGCTGCCAGCCAACCATTGCTTGCATAGGTGAGACACCGGTGACACTGTGGGGCCTGTTGCGGTAGAAGTACAGGAGCATAGCTAGGTCGACCTGCCAATCACTGGACTCGTCGAGGACCTTCCGCACCAAGGTCAACAGCGTTTGGTTGAACCGTTCTGCGGCACCTTGCGATTGGGGGTGGCGAACTGCGCCAAAACACACGTTGACCCCAAATACCTTGTAGAGGGATGACATCAGGGCATTGTGAAGCTCGGTGCCGTTGTCGGAGCGGATAACATGGGGAGGACCCCACCGAGTGCACACACTAACAAATGCATCGGCGACAGTCTCAGCATCATGGCGAACAAGTGGGACGACCTCCACCCACTTGGTGAAGGTGTTAATGCAGACAAGAACGCAGTGATATCGGCCAGACTTGTTGGTACCAAGCTCGAGCGTGTCAATTTGCACAACACGCCAGGGACCATCGGGAGTTACAGGTCGCGTTGGTTGCGGTAGACAAGGTTGAGCAGGATTTGCCGCACGGCAGGTAGTGCACTCTGACACGTAGTCACGGCAGCGCTGTGCCATACCAGGGAAATAGCATTGGCTACGGAGTAGACGCCACATACTTTCCCAACCGGCGTGACCACTCACAGTATGGGCGACTGCAAGTGCATCGGCAGTAAGACTCTGGGGAAGGGCAGGCACAAGCTCAACATCGTTGAGAGGCGATTTCACGCTGCGAAACAGCACATCATCCTCAATCACCAGCTGGGTTCGGACTCTGCTGTAGCTGGAGTTGGGAATCGGTTCACCGGAGAGAAGCTGGGCCTTAACGGGCGAGATCTCCTCGTCAGCAACTTGGGCAGTGGCGATGTCACCCATAGCAAGAGGTGGGAGAGCACGAACGGTAACACCGGCTGCTGCAACATCAGGCTGTGGCTTCTTAGGACTGTCCGGCACACGGAACCAGGTAGGGACATGGGTTAGCTGATCCGAAATATTGTCCTCTGAGCGGACCCATTCAACGTCAACTGTAATGCCAGATACAGTGATCAAATCGTCGATGATCTGCAAACGACGCTGAACCAACGTAGCGTGAAGGCCACTCACTTTAACACGACGAATGTTGTTCAGCAACTGCGTCAACCAGCCATGGACTGTACGCGAATCAGTGTGCAAGACCACGTTTTTCACTGGCTAACACAGAGCGAGGTTGAGCGACTTGATGACGGCATCTAACTCTGCTATGTTGATATGACGCTTATCATCGGAAGGTCTGAGCCAGGACTTGTCTTCGACGATAGCGCCGTTGACTTCCAGAACCGCACCCATGGCCAGACCAGAAGCATCGCACCAAACGTGCCACACTGTGGTGTCATCACAGGGCACAGACCAGACACCATGCACAGGATCGTCTTGACGGACACGAGACTCGACCTCACGGCATGGTTGCACGAGATGAGGCGGTACGAGGTCATCCCATTTCGATGTGTTCTCACCGACAAGCCGCTTGATGTAGTTGCACAGCGGGCGTAACCAGGAACATACCGGGTAGTGACTAATCACACGGCCACACCAACTGAACACTTGACGACGAGTTGGTGACTCTGGCAACTTGAGGTCAACACCAGCACGACGTTCCCACGTGACTGTATCTTCGACATCAGAAGAGGACAGCTGTAGGCCCAACACACGAGCAGTTGCGAACTGCTCTGGCTCTTTCGTCTCAAGCCCATAGCTGGCGAGTTCATGGCGGACGATGTCGGTCTGGGCAGTAGGGACGTAGAGGTCGTCCACATAGTTGTCAAAGGCCGGCGTGATGACGGGTAATCCATTGGACAATCATGTCCAAGATCTTTGGCGCAACGTTCAGACCGAATCCCATGCGGGTCATGGTATACAACTCGCCTTTGTACACAACGGTTTGGTACTTGTACAGGGTGGGATGGATCCATACTTGCAGGTAGGCTTTCCGGATGTCGAGAAGAACGCTGTCGGCACTACGTCTGCGCCAGTCACGGAGTTTCGCGTCACAAGCTGGAGCGGTGACACCGGGGTGGGACACAAGACAGGCATTCAGGGCACGGTAGTCCAAGCACGGCCGAACCGGCGTGGATGCCTTGTGCTGCTGACTAACGGCAAGTATCGGCAAGACAGCGACAGGCTCTCCGAATGCCTCGGAGTCGTACTTGACAAGCCATTCATTGTCCACCCACAACTTCATTTCTGAAGCAAACTGCTCCTCCTCGCTGACGCTTAGAGACTTCCGCGAGTACTCTCCAATGCCGGAACCAATGTGCTGCTCGGGTGCAACGCCACCCTTCCACGACCACTGAGCAATCCAATGACCACGCTCATTCGACCAGTTAGCTTGGCAATCATTCGCCTTCAAGGTGACTGTCGACTCGGACTCGGTAACATCGATGTGACGAGAAAGCTTGTTAGGCTTCTCAGATTCGGGTTGGGGAGATGCACCGGCAGCGACACCTGCCTGCTGACCAAACACAACTGAGGACAGCGTGCCCCCTAGACCGTCGTAACGTAGAGTGAGGCCACCAACCTTGCCAATGGTATCTGTGCCAATCAGGAAGTCTGTGTTCAAGGACGACACGTTGGGCACAACGAGACAATCAATAGTGATCCGAGGCAAATGGACGGCTCCATCAAGTCGTTGCACATGTAGCGTGACGTTGCCAAGGATAGTAAGTGGTGTTCCGTCGATAGACAACAGCTTGTCCTGACAGGGAGAAACTGCAGCTGATAGGTTCAATCGGTCAACAACAGCCGACTCCACAAGTGTGCGAGTACAGCCAGAATCCACCACAGAGGCAAAACGCGTCCACGTACTAGACTCAGTACTGGGTTCCTGTACGTCCACGGCTACACGAACTAGGTCTCCATCCGATTTTGCCAGAGCAAGGCAAATATTCGTACGTTCAGGCGGCGCGTGACCAGCAGCGACATTTCCAACTCGACTCTTGTTCGGACAGTCCTTGGAAATAATGCCCTTTCGCTTTACAGGCATAACAGGTGACACTGGGCTCACGCTTCGGGCACTGTGATCTCACATGGCCCACGGCCTTACACTGGTAACACACGAGCGACTTCTTGGGCTGAGAGCTAGCAGCAGCAACAGCACCATGGGATTCTGGGAATTTGGATGCCTGCATGACTCTGATTTGATTTGCCATATCAGTGACAGTGAGCTTCTGCGTAGCAGACGCCATACGAACGTGGTGACCATTTATCAGCTGGCAAACCACTCAGGAACTGCTCAATCAGCACGGGATCTGAATTATCCGCAATCTTATGGCCAGACAGCGTAAGTAGGCGCTTCAAATCTGCCAGGTACGCGTCCACAGGCTCTCCATTCCGCAAAGCCCTTGACGTAAATGAACGGTAGGCAGCACCAGGCGTGGGGCAAAATGCCTGCTCCAGCGCAGATTTAATTTTTGCCGGCGATTTTTTGTCCTCGTCAGACAATTGAGTGACAACCGTAAAGGCGTGTCCACTCAGGAACAACGGAAGATGCTTAGCCTTGGCAGCGTCATCGGCCCACTTATTGGCCTTGGCTAAGACCAGAAACTTAGCCCAGAACTCATCAAAGTCGTCCTGTTTGCCCCGATACGGGCGAATAAATCCATCCAACTTCGAAGCCATCTTTCAGAACTTCCAACGGGTTTTGGCACCAAAGTTGTCGGGGAATCTCAAGCACGCACACAGAGTGCACCCGACACAACGAACACCCACTCAGTTCATATGGTTTACAAAGTTGAATGCATGATAGGATTAAAGTAACGGGAAGAGAAATAGAAAGTCGAAACTGTCTTCATGCCATTGCAATAATAATTACAACCACTGAACACCGCGTGGTTGACAGCTCTATCTGCTCAGGGGGTGCATGCATGCGTGCACAGCACACCCACACGTAATGAGTCTGAAGCACATGCCAGTACGTAATATTAGGACGTGACGTGGCAACGTGATACTAGTACACACGGCAATACTCTGAGTAAGGCTGCTGCCATGTCACTCAATGCACAGCAATACTCTGAGTAAGGCTGCTGCCATATCACTTAATGCACAGCAATACTCTGAGTAAGGCTGCCATGTCACTCAATACACGGTAATACTCTGAGTAAGGCTGCCATGTCACTCAATGCACGGCAATACTCTGTGTGAGTTTCTTGTACAATCAGATCATGCTTGCCCAGCACAGCTGTCCTTACCGATTGAAAGATCAGCTGTGACAGCAGATCTACTACTAGTACTAGTGCAGCAAACCTTCTCAGTGCACTGTAACATGTGTATTGATTATCTAGATATTTATGTTGTGAAAGTGGAACCTAGATGTATGTGGTTCAGCTAGCTCTGACTCTGCTAACCAGAGTGGACCCATGTCTAAGTATGTGTAGGAGTAGGGCTAGGACCACCCAGGTCTAAGTATGTGCAGGAGTAGGGCTAGGACCAGGATTTGCTGGTCTTGTCTTTCTCTGGGCTATTCTCAACTTTGCTCTACATGTAGATGTGTTCTGTGTGACTCGTGTTCAAGTCCACACGTCTGTGTGTTGTTGCCTGCTGCTGTTGTCGTGCTTGCACAGAGATCCTGCATCAGCGGTCGTGGACGACGGAGCGAGTATGCCATGTGAAGCGTGTCCTATCAGCTGTTGCCTTGGTTACTGAGTTCCTTGGAGTAAGTGACTACAAATCGTGTTACTTGTTTCTTTTAGCGCCCCTCTCTAAAATAATCCTCTATCTGTGATTAGCATGGTGCCTGGAAGAAAGGGCTTACGAATGAATGCCCTGGAAGAAAGGGCTTACGAATGAATGGCCTGGAAGAAAAGGGCTTACGAATGAATGCCCTGGAAGAAAGGGCTTACGAATGAATGCCCTGGAAGAAAAGGGCTTACGAATGAATGCCTGGAAGAAAAGGGCTTACGAATGAATGCCTGGAAGAAAAGGGCTTACGAATGAATGCCTGGAAGAAAAGGGCTTACGAATGAATGCCTGGAAGAAAAGGGCTTACGAATGAATGCCTGGAAGAAAAGGGCTTACGAATGAATGCCTGGAAGAAAAGGGCTTACGAATGAATGCCTGGAAGAAAGGGCTTACGAATGAATGCCTGGAAGAAAGGGCTTACGAATGAATGCCTGGAAGAAAGGGCTTACGAATGAATGCCTGGAAGAAAGGGCTTACGAATGAATGCCTGGAAGAAAGGGCTTACGAATGAATGCCTGGAAGAAAGGGCTTACGAATGAATGCCTGGAAGAAAGGGCTTACGAATGAATGCCTGGAAGAAAGGGCTTACGAATGAATGCCTGGAAGAAAAGGGCTTACGAATGAATGCCTGGAAGAAAAGGGCTTACGAATGAATGCCTGGAAGAAAAGGGCTTACGAATGAATGCCTGGAAGAAAAGGGCTTACGAATGAATGCCTGGAAGAAAAGGGCTTACGAATGAATGCCTGGAAGAAAAGGGCTTACGAATGAATGCCTGGAAGAAAAGGGCTTACGAATGAATGCCTGGAAGAAAGGGCTTACGAATGAATGCCTGGAAGAAAGGGCTTACGAATGAATGCCTGGAAGAAAGGGCTTACGAATGAATGCCTGGAAGAAAAGGGCTTACGAATGAATGCCTGGAAGAAAGGGCTTACGAATGAATGCCTGGAAGAAAAGGGCTTACGAATGAATGCCTGGAAGAAAAGGGCTTACGAATGAATGCCTGGAAGAAAAGGGCTTACGAATGAATGCCTGGAAGAAAAGGGCTTACGAATGAATGCCTGGAAGAAAAGGGCTTACGAATGAATGCCTGGAAGAAAGGGCTTACGAATGAATGCCTGGAAGAAAGGGCTTACGAATGAATGCCTGGAAGAAAGGGCTTACGAATGAATGCCTGGAAGAAAGGGCTTACGAATGAATGCCTGGAAGAAAAGGGCTTACGAATGAATGCCTGGAAGAAAAGGGCTTACGAATGAATGCCTGGAAGAAAAGGGCTTACGAATGAATGCCTGGAAGAAAAGGGCTTACGAATGAATGCCTGGAAGAAAAGGGCTTACGAATGAATGCCTGGAAGAAAAGGGCTTACGAATGAATGCCTGGAAGAAAAGGGCTTACAAATGAATGCCCTGGAAGAAAGGGCTTACGAATGAATGCCTGGAAGAAAAGGGCTTACGAATGAATGTCTGGAAGAAAAGGGCTTACAAATGAATGCCTGGAAGAAAGGGCTTACGAATGAATGCCTGGAAGAAAAGGGCTTACGAATGAATGCCTGGAAGAAAAGGGCTTACAAATGAATGCCCGGAAGAAAGGGCTTACGAATGAATGCATGGAAGAAAGGGCTTACGAATGAATGCCTGGAAGAAAGGGCTTACGAATGAATGCCTGGAAGAAAAGGGCTTACGAATGAATGCCTGGAAGAAAAGGGCTTACAAATGAATGCCCTGGGAGATTTATTAAAATATCTTATAAGTATTGGATGTGCATGTCTACATGTATGTGATGGCGTACAGCCAGTGAGAGAATGATTCACGACAGTACTCGTATGCACGGTTACTGTGAATTTGACGGCGGAGAGAGAGAGAGAGAGAGAGAGAGAGAGAGAGAGAGAGAGAGAGAGAGAGAGAGAGAGAGAGAGAGAGAGAGAGAGAGAGAGAGAGAGGTATAGTGGAACTCGGATAAGACATACCCCCCCCCCCTTCCCTGGGTACTTACTAAGTGAGTTCCACTGTATTTTGTTTGTGCTCTTTTTTCAGGAACCTCTTCCTGTGGTGGAGGAGTTCTTACAGGAATATCTGACCACTTGGGACGGCAGCATGTTTTTTGATGAAATTCTCCGTCTGTTGTGCCATGTACGACTGCGCAACTTCAGTGGTAAGTGACTGTATGGTAGTATGGGAGTATGGTAGTATGGTAGTATGGTAGTCATATGACTATCTGTTATACTACTGTGAGCGGATAAGATTGGTTGCAGTACAGTGTGCGTCATGCTGTATTTTCTGGCGTGTTAACTGTTAACCTTTTGAGCACGACGCTACCTAAATGCCGCCCACGTCAACACCTGCAAAAATCGCGTTTTTCCTATGAAAGTAGTAACTGTTCAAGGATCGATAACTTTACCTTCCCTTGGGCGAATTCCACGATCTTGTGCTTCCTGCAAAGGTCTTGAGACGAGGAACAAAATAGTTCCAAGCCCAGCTCGGAGCGACACCAAAAGCCCATGCTACAGTCTGGTAAACTTCACGCACGCGCTCGACAGACTTGAGCACGGCCAGGAGATCAAATCCTCAGCTGCCATTTCACTCTCCTTGCTCGTATCGAGCTCAAATTTGTTTGAGGACTCCCCAGATCCGCTGCCATCATTTGAATCTAGTTTCCATGGCAGCAGATAGCGCGAAAATGATCGAAAATGGAAAATACGCCTTCTGTAAAGTACGCAAAAAAATCGATTTGAATTTGCCATGTCGAGTCGCATATCTCAACAACCCGGGGTCTTTCGCTTCGACGATTGTTTCTATCGCAAGCTGAGAGTTTTCTCTTGCTGATACATTTTATGTTTCGATCGTGAGAATCGGCCAAGAATTGACCGAGTTACGATAGTTTGAACTCACGCGGTTCATGCAAATCGCGTTTGTACGCTATGTACACTCACGACGTAATAATACGTCACGCGTGGGAGCAGTGACACTGTACATGACGTAATAATACGTCATGCGTGCTCAAAGGGTTAACCGGCAATAACCGCATGGGGTCTAAGTCACCCCCCCCCCCCCTTCAGGCCCAAAAGTCGTATTTTTGTTGACATTCGAAGTATAAGCCGTACGTCAGACTTTGAATTTCGTTGGCAACCTAACTCTGACCTGATAATAATGTACTTCAAAATAGAAGCGTTGTGCTAGCTAGTGCAGTGATGGATTGCAGTACATGAACAGTAATTGAATGACTCCATGCATTCACTACCGGTTTATGCATGAAGTACTGTAGTGCTGGTCGATTCACATCCACCATTCAGAGTCTAAGGCATATGGGCGATTTCTGAGTTTTTCTATGCGTTTTAAAGTGCGGCTAACACACCCAAAAATACGGTTTATCATCATGTATTCGTCTACTGCAGGCCTGAGGGTGCATGTACCGTCAGTGTTAATACTTGTTTGATTTGATGTGTGACTCCGTGCATGTGTGTGCCTATGTGTATGTGATGTGTCCTGTGTGCTGGGCTGTGTGCTGTCCTGTGCTGTGTGCTGTGCTGCACTGTGTTGGTCTGTGTGCTGTGCTGTGCGCGTGCTGTGATGTGATGTGTCCTGTCGTGTGCTGGGCTGTGATGTGACGTGCTGTGTGCTGGGCTGTGATGTGACGTGCTGTCCTGTGCTGGTCTGTGCTGTGCTGGTCTGTGCTGTGCTGGTCTGTGCTGTGCTGTGCGCGTGATGTGATGTGATCTGCTGTGCTGTGCTGCACTGTGCTGTGCTGTGCTGTGGCAGAGCTTGAGAGTGTGTTCTTGCAGCCTCTGCATCACCTCTACATGACCGTGTCTGCACAGGAGAAAGTAAGCGTATGAGAAGTTTAAAATACCCTTCAAGGTACAGCCAACCATATGCATACCAATCATGTGCATACCAATCATGTGCATACCAATCTTGTGCATACCAATCTTGTGGATACCAATCATGTGGATACCAATCTTGTGCATACCAATCTTGTGGATAACAACAACTCACGACTTACAACACTCTCTTTAGAGTTTAGACCTAGTACGATTTGACAACATTCTTTCAAACTCATGAATACACTGTAACGACGACTCGTGGAGATCGAGTTTGAACATATTGGAATAGCATTCCAGACTGCATGGCGAAACCTATCTTGAAAACGGTCAAGCATTGACCCAGTTTCTGCCAGAAGCAAGATGATCATCTTTTTTCTGAATGCACTCTAACTTAGTACAGTAACTCCGAGTGGTATTACATGTAGCTAGCTACATAAGCTGCAACACCCATTGTCCTGGAGACAGTATGTGGTATTACATGTAGGTACATAAGCCGCAACACCCATTGTCCTGGAGACAGTATGTTCCATTCTACTGTTCTACATTCTACTGCGGTAGCAGCTGAAATATTTCATGTGACTACTCGAGGAATCGGCATTACTTGCTTACCCCCCCCCCCCACGTTAAACTCAGCATTCTCCTTATTTGCCCCCTCTCCTCTCCTCTCCTCTCCCCCTCCCCTTCCCCCTCCCTCCCCTCCCCCTGTTTTTCTGTTATGATTACTGGTGCAGGCAAAGATTGTGCACTGTTGGCGCAGGATGTTCTGCAATTTTGTGAAGATTGAGACTGTCAATCACCTGAAGGCAACAAGCGATATGGCCTGTGATGAGAATGGCATTGATGAAAGGTAGTCTGTTTGTTTGGACGTGAAGCATGCTGAATTGATGATTGCTGAATTCGCTGCCAATACAGTAGTGGCTGTGAATTCTCTCTTCCAGTCACCTGTTGGCTCTTGCGTGTGTGTCTGACTCTGTATGTCTGTGTCTGTCTGTGCCTGGCTGTGTGTATGCATGTGTCTGTCTGTCTGTGTGTGTGTGTGTGGGGGGGGGGGGGGGGGGGGAGGAGGCACGCTACTGTCTATGTGAATTTGCTTTCTCATCACTATCGTCTTTGCCTTGTGTAAGTGATTACCATGAAGATGTGACTTGCCCACGCTACAACTGCTGTTCTCTTGCAATATCCTATAAATAATCATATTGTTTACAGCTCTCGTGAGAACCAGTCAGACTGACGTTTCTGCACCCGGAGAAATCTTAGAAGGATTGTGTATATTCTGGTTGCTCCGTGTTTGCTCAGAGGTTGTACAATTATATGTTCCTTTCTTGCTCAGGATAGCGCACCGGCGCTTGTTTCCCAGACCAAGTTCCGGTGTTGTCAATGGCAAGGACACTGTCGCCCGTTTTGTGGCGTTTGCTGATCATCATGCCTTCGTTGGTCTGCAGGTAAGTTGAGCAGGTTCTCGCGGAGAAGTCTGGTGAAAAATGAAAAAAATCACGGTCCGTAGTGTTTTTGGGGCGCTGCGTCGAATGTTCCTGGTCCCACACCTCTCCAGTGAAGCGGTCTAGCTGGCTACACCTGCTGACACCACCACCAGATGAGGTAGAATATTCAATTAGAAGTATCTGACAAACGAATGACCGCACCCTCCTTGAAAGAAGGCCATTCGACGCAGCACTCAAAATCTACAGGCCCTGAGATTTTTCTTATAATCACCGAACATCGCCTTTTAGAATCTACAGCTTTCTCTAGCCATGCTGTCTTTGTTACCATGGTTACATTGTGCATACTCTTGTTTCCATGTACATATACTCTTGAATACAGTGACCTAATATGGAAACTGGCAAGTAAAGGCAATCTTCCGTGCCAGATGGAGTGTGCTTACATCCCAGCTTCGCTCTAGTCATTTGAATTGTTCTGTTTTTGTTTTTTTAATTCTTTATTCTCACGATGGTTGTTGTTGTTGTTGTTGTTGTTGTTGTTGTTGTTGTTGTTGTTGTTGTTGTTGTTGTTGTTGTTGTTGTTGTTGTTGTTGTTGTTGTTGTTGTTGTTGTTGTTGTATGAAGGCGGAGGAGAATGCACCTGTTCTGCAACAAGCTGTTCTCAGGTTTTTCTTCGATGTAAGTATCTCATGCCGTCATGGTGAACGTACTAGTAGAGGCGCGTACAGTTTCACCATGGTAACCATGGGAACTATGGGAACCATGGTAACTATGGGAACCATGGTAACTATGGGAACCATGGGAACTATGGCCGTGCTGGTTCAGTGTGATCACAGTGTGGTGTGTGCGTGTTCAGTGTGCAAGCTCTGCATGTTTGTACATGTACATCACCCAGTTCTTGACATGGACAGAAGTGGAAGACAGTCAGTCATGTGGATGCATAAACCCATACTCGTACACATGTACATGCATAATACGTACAACATGCCAGTGGATCCTGTTCATGGCTGTTAGCACTTTATACCTCAGGCTCTCTGTAGACCGTATTTCCCTGAGTATAAGTCGCACCTTACTGGGTGTAGTGGAGCGATAGCAATTACCTAATTTCAGAACTAAGAGTGAACTTGATGTGCACTCCAAAACCTTTCCGGTTTGAAGCCACCTCGTGTTTGAAACGAAAAATTGGGCAACTTGGAGGCAACAGGCCAACACAAAGGAGTGGCTCAGTTCGATCGACTCTGCCCTCAGAGCAAAGTTCATCATGCCAGTTTCCTTCCACAAACATATTTCGAGTGAACAATCCACTCTGATGATCGGTTTGGGTCTACACAATTTTGCTGTCAAACCGTTCCTATTTGAAACCGTCCCCTCTATCAGGCAAGGTTACTGTGTATGAGCTTGATGCCCTGCTGGCCTAGTTCAACTCAACGGGCGAAGGGGACCGAGCACACTGTACTAGTATGGAAGTCACATTATCGTTTTCTAGAAAGTGATTTTAGAATTCTGCTGCATGCTGCGGTTACTCTTGAAGTACATGTGCCCACAGCTTGCAATGACAGAATCTGAATCTGACCTCACCCTTGATATGTAAACATTTATCACTGTTCACCAGCACCTGCACACAATGCCGGAGTTGGAAGGGCTAGGCTGTAGCGTAGGGCTGCTGCCGCATGGTGGCCAGAGCTAGCAGTCCCGACGACGTTGGATCTCAATAAACAGTACATGGCCGGTGTACTCGTACTGTGTTCCTAGTCAAGACCACCCACAGTAGTAATGTCACACATCAAGTTAGCACCCGGGGGTTGGAAAGACGCATCGCTACAGCACTGGCACATGTACAATTTCTCTTCAACCGCCGGTGTCGAGCGTAATACATCATGTCAATACTCCAGTCAAGCTGTGTTCATGGTGGATTGAAAACTCTCAAGTAAACACAGCTTTACAGCACAAGTAAATTAGAAGACTATGTCTGAACACATACATCTCTACAAACAACCAGTACTGTACATTTTTAATGATTACATACTGCACTGCACAGCAGCACAATCAAGTCAATGCATGTACAAGCCTACACACAAGCACTCATTCACTTCTAATCTGCTCTGTGTACAGACATGCACATGTGCTCATCAACAGCTATTATAGTATGGACATGCACAGCCAGTCAGCTACATCTTTACGTCAGGCACCATTGTCAGAGTGAAATGCAGTTTATTGGATTTTCTTAAAAACACACACACACATGCATATATTGAGTTCTCACGCAAGAGATGAGGTTGTAAAAGCGAGCACACAGCGCGAGTGCCTGTACGCAGAAATAAATAGGATCAGCTGGAGAGTTTACTGCTTATTGGGACCAGAATCCCACTTTGATCTCCTTTTCTTTTGCTCCGACTCGGCATTTGAACTGGTTGGCGGCCGTTTTGTTCCCGTCACGAATTCTACGTGTGTTTTATGCGCTGCTGCCGTTTCCTCTGCTTTCTTCTTCTTGTCAAACTGATCCTTTTGCACCGCTGCCAGTTTCTCGTAGTACGATTCAGGTCCCCAGCCAGCAGGATTGAACGACGTAAAGTTTGAGCCCAGCTCATCCAGATCGAGAAACGATACTAATTTTTCGTAGATAGACGGATTTCGGAAGTCTTTGCGACTTTGCACACTCTGCGTCAGGCTGCGACCTGTTCTGTGCTTGGTTTCAAGCATAGCTTCGATCTTGCGCTGTAGTGAGTTTGAACAGTTCCCTCGCGGGGGTGATGGCATTAGTCGGGCAGCCTGTCTCGGCTTCACTTTGAACGGCCAGTCCTCTTTGTCTGAATCATCACTAGCGACGGGAGATGGCACTGCCATTGCCACTGAGTTGTCTCCATTATCACTGTCCTCGGCTTCCGAATCATCCTGTGCTGCTGCATCACTTGCTTCAGGCTCTGTTGGCTTCTCCACTGCGGGAGCAGATTGTAGTCGAACTGCACGAACAATTTGTCCCTTCGTTGTGGAACCCGCAGCCTGCTCACTGTCCTCGTCAGACGAGCCAGAATCATACGCTACCAAGCCAGTCGCCATTATCGTTGCCTCCGCGACAACGCACTACATCTGGCCAACGCTCATGGCATTGTCGATCTCGCAAACACGAAACACCAAGAGAAATTTTCGAATGCCAACCAACAAAGGCAGCGCTTGCAATTGCATGCAACAACAACGCAAACATACGTTCAAACGGCAAACTCGTTTTTTGCGAGCTTTCAATCGCAATCTTTTGCGCATGCGAGCATCATAATCACTTCTATCATTGTTTTGTTTTGCATGATGTCATGCGCTTTTGACTCGTGCATGTGCATGTCGACAACAGCCCGGGCCCACGTAATGTCACCTGGCCTTTTTTTTCTCTTCTTTCTTTCTTCTTTTTTACTTTTCGGGATTCATTGCATGCATGCATGCATGCAGTGACTAGACTGTTGTGTGGCTCATGGTGGTCGCTATGAAGACCTCTCCATTGCTCAATGGAAGAAGAGAGCTAGCTTAGGACCCTCACTATGCTAGTTCTTTGCCTACTATACTAGCCTCAGTCAAGTGCGACGGCCGGCCGTACCATACACACACACGCATCCCTAGCCCTACACATGCACGCACATACGCACTATCTCTCTCTCTCTCTCTCTCTCTCTCTCTCTCTCTCTCTCTCTCTCTCTCTCTCTCTCACACACACACACACACACACACACACACACACACACACACACACACACACACACACACACACACACACGCACACACGCACGCATACACACATACATGTACACCCACATAATGTGCATACTACAGCATGGAGGACTCAGGCTAGCGCCAAGCACCACTGCGTAACGTCTTTTACATACATGTAGCTAAGGGAGCAATTTGATCATCTCATGAGCTAGTGATAAGTGCCTTACACAAGTTCACAGTCCAGTGCATGCTGGCAGGTGTGGAGCTGCACCATAGCAACCAAGCCCAAAGGTGCTACTCGGCACAAAGTTTGTATTACAATCAGCAAAATGTGCTACTCACTACTACTTCAGTACTACTGAAGTAGTACTGCAGTACTAGTACTGCAGTACTGGTATATATATAAAGAAGCCTTGCTTGGTAGTTTAACATGTTTTTCGATTATGGTTGTAGTCAGGAGCACTATCCTTGTAACATGTAACATGTAACATGCTGTCAAAATTGAAAAACATACTGCAGTACTACTGTACTGTGTTCAGTTTTGTTAGAAGGTGTCTTTGCGAACAGACTGCAATTTTATGTGTGGGAGTCAATTGCTCCTAGATGGGAATGTACATTTGTGTATGTGTGTGTGTGTGTTACATGGTACCAAGAGTACATAACCCCCAGAGTGTGCAACGCCGATCCAGCTCTGTGTAGGGTCTTGGTCGAGCGGAATCGGATCTTCTGATGTCATGCGTACACTTCACACCAGCGCAAGGCCGGTCTCGAGGCAGGGCACCATTGTTTTTGATCCAAGAGTACCCGCGACTCCCCGGGTTCCCCTCAGATGTGTACGGTATTATGACGCAAAGATCCGATTCCGCTCGACCAAGACCCTATGCAGAGCTGGATCAGGCGTTGCACACTCTGGGGGGTTATGTACTCTTGATGGTACATGACGTGTGTGTGTGTGTGTGTGTGTGTGTGTGTGTGTGTGTGTGTGTGTGTGTGTGTGTGTGTCCCATATGGTGCAGTGGTATGTGCCGCGATTTCCAATCGATAGGTTGCGGGTTCGATTCCCGACGATTATGGTCACACACGTCTTTCTTCTCTTTCTCAGACTCTTCCTGACTTTTCTTTCATTCTCCTGGGTGGTTACCAACAGCCAGTGCATGCCGGAGTATGTGGTGTGATGTGTGTGCGGGAAAAAAAAAAAAAAAAAATCCCCAAAATAGGGATTCACTGGCCAGAAAAAGTCACTTCAAATAGCTGTATGGTGTAGACCAGGCTGAATAGTGACGGTCAATTCTTCAGCCTTGCAAGCTGTTGAATGGTGCAATCCCAGCACAAGTTGCTATGGCTTCTGCCGTAGCATTGCTATCATCGCCTCTGGCGATGGGCGTCAAAGGTCAAAGGTCAAGGTCAAAGGTGTGTGTGTGTGTGTGTGTGTATGCATGTTGTTGACTGGCTGTATAGGTTGAGCGAATGGCATTGCTGGATGGCGTGTGCTTCTTGCCCTTCCCGTCTCCTAAAACAACGTATTGTCTACTGCTCTCACACAACTCAGCAGCCGTCTCAGACCTCTGCTTCATCTTCTCCCGGTGAGAGAATTGTGGCTCTCGATATCATAGAATTATGGATATTATCCTACACAGACAGAAGAACGAGCAGTTTTTTTCCCGAAATTCTGATTTTGACGAACTGAATTGATCTTCATCTGATGATCTGGGCGGACTGGTCCGTAACAGCCTGAGCACCAGGGCCCTGTGTGACATGGTAATCCCGTGCCACAGAAGTGTCTGCAGCCTGATGCCTGAATTCAAGCAGGCTGAGCAAGTTGCCTGTATTTGTATCAGCCCATGACCATGATGATTCATCTACTGGGTTCCAGTGCTACATGTAGTTGCTATGGCCTCGCAGGGCGATGTTCTGCCAACCACAAAATCCAATTGTGGCGATGATCGGCATAAGTTTCTGCCGATTCTCTGCAGCACAAGGGCAGGTGACTGTCATGTCCACGGGCCATGATGATTACACTGGTTACTCTCATTACACTGGTTACTCTGATTGGAATAACTAGTACATCAAGTACATTGTACCCTTAGTAGCCCTGCCATAACCTGATCTTGCATGCTGTGTGTGTGTGTGATTTGCTACTGTCTGCTTGCAGCCTATACAAGAGTATGTGTCTGTTATGTTCTTCCACCAAGCATGCATGGGTGAGTACAATATCAATGACACAGTCGTGGCCGGAGAAATCCGACCGGAAGCGCTTCACTGCGTTTCCATCTCCATTACATCATGCACAGTCCAGAGAACCACCCGAGGGCCGCAGGGGCCGCATGCGCCTTGGCACTGCTTTCGGCTCACGGGTTAGATTTCTTTGGCCACAACTGTACATGCATTGCTACCACTCTCACTGTGATATCCATTATGTATGTAGTAAGTATGCACTGCCATTACACTCACAACCATACAGTGTATGTCATCTTGTAGTGAGCTGTTCAACTCTTGGTCTACCAGCCATGTGTTCAATACTCGCATTGTGTGTAAATAGCACACTCTGCTTGCTGCGTGTACATTTGTATTTGTATTTATTCAACATTTCCTGGCTCGGCAAACAACTGCCAATGACAAAATTAATGACAAATGACCGTATGGGCCGGCAAAAGCCAGAGGTACCGTAGTGTAACTTACTTCTGATGAAGTAAAGTAAAAGTAGATAAACTATCACTGGTAAAGTGGTAATGGTATGACATGATGATATTGTATTTATACCAGATTCAAACCCAGTCCATCTACAAGTACATGTACTGTTTTCAGCAGAGACCATCTGCTGGAGTGCTGGTACATGTAGTAGGGAGTAGTAAACTACCGGTACTTTACTACTCCTTGCTATCTATACAATCAAGAGTACATAACCAAGAGTGTGCAACTCCTATCTTGAGCTGCGCTGGGTTCACCCACGGTGGAATTGTTTTATTGTATCATTCTTTGGCAGAAGTGTGATGAAGTGTGTATGCTTTCCCGCGCTTGTTTTGCAGATACGGTGAGAGTTCGTCAGGTTCAAGACACATCGATCTATCGTCCGTTGTTCTGCTTCGACTACCGTAGCTGCAATGTACAAATTATTTGTACTTTGATCTCTGGCTACGCATGATAGCATCATGTCAGTGAGCCAAACCGCCGCCAAAGACTGATGTCTTGAAAAATTCCGCCATGGGCTGGGGGATCGTCGAGTTGCACACTCTTGGTTATGTACTCTTGATACAATTAATGAGTGCTCTGTCTGCTGGTATCCACTTTCCATGTTTGTGTGTGTGTGTGTGTGTGTGTGTGTGTGTGTGTGTGTGTGTGTGTGTGTGTGTGTGTGTGTGTGTGTGTAGAATTTTGTGGCTGAATGGCAACAGCGGACAAGAGTGACACACATGTTCAATCGTATAGTCCTGGACATTGTC